TCATATTTCCATACGTGGCTGCACAAGTGACGTCTCCGCGAGTGGTGGACCCAGACACTGTCCCTTACCTATATATACTGCAGGCGTCTTTCAGCCATCTGCTCAGTTTGAGTGCAAGTCATCAGATGTTTTATCTAGCGACGATGTCTGCTGGCGGCATATTATGTTTCATTCACGCACGTACCGGACACAAAGCAGACACAGTTGGTGATAGTGCGAGCACTTTCATAGGACACAGGATAACGGGCGGGTTTGACTTTCACCGGAACTATACTAACAGGAAATCACTTCCTCTCCTACAATAAGTGTATTCATAGGCAAGAGGTGTGTGCATCTATGTGTGCATCTATAAGTTCTGACAGACAGAGGGAGTGTGTAAGTCATTAAAACAGAGGCAGTGTGTATATATGTGTTAGTTGTGACATACAGAGGGAGTGTCTGTATGTGTATTAGTTGTGACATACAGAGAGAGTGTGTATATGTGTATTAGTTGTGACATACAGAGGGAGTATGTTTATGTGTATTAGTTGTGACATACAGAGGGAGTGTGTGTATGTGTATTAGTTGTGACATACAGAGGGAGTATGTTTATGTGTATTAGTTGTGACATACAGAGGGAGTGTGTGTATGTGTATTAGTTGTGACATACAGAGGGAGTGTGTGTATGTGTATTAGTTGTGACATACAGAGGGAGTGTGTATATGTGTATTAGTTGTGACATACAGAGGGAGTGTGTGTATGTGTATTAGTTGTGACATACAGAGGGAGTGTGTATATGTGTATTAGTTGTGACATTCAGAGGGAGTGTGTGTATGTGTATTAGTTGTGACATACAGAGGGAGTGTGTATATGTGTATTAGTTGTGACATACAGAGGGAGTGTGTATATGTGTATTAGTTGTGACATACAGAGGGAGTGTGTATATGTGTATTAGTTGTGACATACAGAGGGAGTGTGTGTATGTGTATTAGTTGTGACATACAGAGGGAGTGTGTGTATGTGTATTAGTTGTGACATACAGAGGGAGTATGTTTATGTGTATTAGTTGTGACATTCAGAGGGAGTGTGTATATGTGTATTAGTTGTGACATACAGAGGGAGTGTGTATATGTGTATTAGTTGTGACATACAGAGGGAGTATGTTTATGTGTATTAGTTGTGACATACAGAGGGAGTGTGTATATGTGTATTAGTTGTGACATACAGAGGGAGTGTGTATATGTGTATTAGTTGTGACATTCAGAGGGAGTGTGTGTATGTGTATTAGTTGTGACATACAGAGGGAGTGTGTATATGTGTATTAGTTGTGACATTCAGAGGGAGTGTGTATATGTGTATTAGTTGTGACATACAGAGGGAGTATGTTTATGTGTATTAGTTGTGACATACAGAGGGAGTGTGTATATGTGTATTAGTTGTGACATTCAGAGGGAGTGTGTGTATGTGTATTAGTTGTGACATTCAGAGGGAGTGTGTGTATGTGTATTAGTTGTGACATACAGAGGGAGTGTGTTTATGTGTATTAGTTGTGACATTCAGAGGGAGTGTGTTTATGTGTATTAGTTGTGACATACAGAGGGAGTGTGTATATGTGTATTAGTTGTGACATACAGAGAGAGTGTGTGTATGTGTATTAGTTGTGACATACAGAGAGAGTGTGTGTATGTGTATTAGTTGTGACATACAGAGAGAGTGTGTATATGTGTATTAGTTGTGACATACAGAGGGAGTGTGTGTATGTGTATTAGTTGTGACATACAGAGGGAGTGTGTGTATGTGTATTAGTTGTGACATACAGAGGGAGTGTGTATATGTGTATTAGTTGTGACATACAGAGGGAGTGTGTGTATGTGTATTAGTTGTGACATACAGAGGGAGTGTGTATATGTGTATTAGTTGTGACATACAGAGGGAGTGTGTGTATGTGTATTAGTTGTGACATACAGAGGGAGTGTGTGTATGTGTATTAGTTGTGACATACAGAGGGAGTGTGTGTCTGTGTATTAGTTGTGACATACAGAGGGAGTGTGTGTATGTGTATTAGTTGTGACATACAGAGAGAGTGTGTATATGTGTATTAGTTGTGACATACAGAGGGAGTGTGTGTATGTGTATTAGTTGTGACATACAGAGGGAGTGTGTATATGTGTATTAGTTGTGACATTCAGAGGGAGTGTGTGTATGTGTATTAGTTGTGACATTCAGAGGGAGTGTGTTTATGTGTATTAGTTGTGACAAACAGAATGAGTGTGTAAGTCATTACATACAGAGGGAGTGTATAAGTCATTACATACAGAAGTAGTGTGTATTTGTATAAGTGATTACATATAGATGGAGTATATATGTATGTGTTAGTGACAACCAAGAGGAATGTATAAGTCATTACATACAGAGTTAGTGTGTATTTGTATAAGTGATTACATATAGATGGAGTATATATATATATATATATATATATGTGTTAGTGACATACAGAGGGAGTGTATATCTGTGTGTGTAAATTCTGACATATGAATGTAAACTGTAAATAAAAGTTATGACATGTAATCACTTTCCACGTCTCTCTCCCTCTCTCTCTCACACACACACCCACTCACTCTCTCTCTCCCTCGCTTTCTCTCTCTTTTTCTCTCACTCTTGAGTTTCTTGCATTATTACTCTCCCTTTCTCTCTCTCCTACTTTGTTTTCTTTGCCTCTGTCTACCTGACTCTGTCTCCTTTTCCATATTATCTGTCTATCTCTCCTTCTCTGTATTATCTGTCTCTATCTGTGTATCCTTTTCTATGTTGACATCTCTTCCAGGACTTTGTGTCCATATATGTCCACACATTCTGCAGGGATTACTATGGAGAGAATACAAGCACTTATGGACTGAAGGGTTCCATGTGCGACAAGGATAATCTGTCGACTAACATGTGTCTAATATGTTGCTTACACATTATCTTTTCAATAAGTATGTTATTCTTCTTAGCTAATTCAGATAAAGTTTCTTACTCTGTCATTCAGTAATACTTCAGTCTGTTTCAAGTATGTGTGTATACAGAGCACACAACAGACACTCTTAATACCGCAGACAAGAGAATCAAGATGTGATAAGAGTTAACCCTACCTGATCTGAGGCCCAGAACCTAACTGCCCCCTATACCTAATCTCCTGGGCATTAACTCAAAAAAAAAAACCAACATGATATACAAAAATATTATTTCACATGCAAACAAGTGGTTAGAAAAAGATGAAACTTTGAGACATTGTAGAAATAGGTTTACCAAAATTCCACCCTAATGTGTCAATCCACCCAGCAGGATAAACCTTGTTTGACAAAGTGAGCACCAGATGTTGCTGTTGTGAGGGACATGCCCCCTTCTCTTTACTATCAATCTAGTTTTGAATCTATAATTTTTAAGATTCTCCTCATCACTCATGCTCACACTGTCTGTGTCACTTCAACTGGGAACGTATTCTTCATGAAATTCTCACTCCTCAGAGTCTGAATCAACCAAAGTAGCGATCACCTGTTGGACTGAGGAAAGCCTGGACCTACTTCACTTTCCTGTAGAAGAGGCTTCTGGCCTGTGATGATCGCCATTTTGATAATTTTTGGCCCTTGAGTAAACTTGGTTCATCAGTCGCTTGTTTCATTGTAAATTTTCAGATTTTTTTTCACAGTAAATCAAACAAAGTAAATCCAAACACACGTGGGCAGTCATTCGCAATGACTAACCACGAGGTTTGATCACGACTGGTTGGTTATTTTTAGTTTATGACGCATATTATTTATGGTACACAAAGAACCAAAAATAAGGTACAAAGGTTTAGCGGCAGATTGGGAAATTACTGGAAAAGCGGTACAGCGGTCTGGTAGTTAATGAGACTTCTAACTTTCTTTCTCAGTCCACATTATCCATTGAAATATTTGTTTGTTTCCAACAGTGTTGAATGTCATAGTGTCATACGTAGGCAATAATTATAATACTCTGTTATAATACTTCACTGTGCAGACGGCACCTGACTGATTGATTAATTATAATAGTATTTGTTGATTCACAATGTGCCTTGACTTCCATTACTATCTGCTCGATTTCTTCCATTCTCTGAACTGTGGGGTATACTTGTCAATAATTTCTCCTCACAGCTGTGTTAGCCGAATGGCTGAAGTTGGAGGACTGGAGCCTAAAACATTGAGGTTGAATTTGTCCTGGGCTCCCAGGTTGACCTAGGCTAAAATAGGTGCCAATCATAGGAAAGGGCAGCCAACATGATGTTGACAACAGCGTCTCTGCAGTGCTGATTGTCTATACAAATATGAATCTTTTACCACATTCCAAGTGTAAAAGTAATGTGGACAGGGCCCTTGACGCTTTTGGTTCTCAGAGGTTTGTTCCCTCTGGTGTATCCAACCTCTGCAATGAACGGGTGCAGTTAAGATCTTTTCTTTATCAAAAGACAGTGTCCGAATTTCTCAAACTCACCAGAACTCTATAGGTTATGAGGGCAAGATGAAAATGTTCTTTGTCTTTACTCACATCATTCAGAACTCCATTTTCTTTGAGTAGTGAAATGGAAGACAGTTTATTTGATTTTGACAGTGGTATTGAGTGTGCCAACCATTCAGAAAACACTGACAAACTAATGTAAATGTGCCCAATATAAGCCAAAAAAACCAACACATACTGGGGGTTGGTTTGTGACCTCCTGTAAAGAGTATGTAGATAACTTGTTGTTATTGGGTTATCACTTTCATCACTATTTTTGTATCTTTAAAGCTTCAACAAATTTCCTTTGAAAATGTAGTTTAAGGTAGTGAAGGTAGTTTATGTGATCCTGTCCTCAGCTGGTGTCAGAATAATAGAATCTTTGACTGATGATTACAGCATCACAGCCTGCAAACATTGTGTGCATAAAAATATTCTTTGTCTTCATTCCAGAAGTGTATTTCTGATACTGGCATTGTTTCTCGTCTTGTAGGATCCTGTAGCAGAAGAACAAACCAGCAGTGAAAATGAGCAGCGACATTCCTCCCTGGAATCCTGTACAGTTCATCATCATCTGTACATACACTTGTTTTCTCTCATTTTTTCACACTCCTAGTGGTGAGTTACAGTGTTACAGTTAGTCACTCTGTAAAGTGATGGAAATATTTTGTTTGTTATGTGTATGGAGTGGCTGTCAGTTGGGGGGGGGGGGGGGGGGGGGGGGATAAAAAAGTTTAGTCATTGTTTTAATATTTTGTACAATGAAATAACAATAAAAATCAAATGTGTGCATAAACTTGATAACATCCTAAACAAAACCTAAAAATATTGTTTTTAATTACTAATTTTAATTACTAATTACTAATTGTTGTAGATCGAGCTTGATCCATTCATTTAAAAACAAAATCCACTCTACTTGTTTTAATAAAGATTAATAACAATGGGAAGTCATGAGCATAAGTAGAGAGCAACAGACCATCGACATAAAGATTCTAGATCACAGCCTAAAACAAGTGCAAGAATTTAAATACCTGGGAAGTATCTTAACATCCAATGGTAAAATAGACAGAGAGATTGAAGCAAGAATCCAACAAGCCAACAATGTCGCATACCAGCTTGCCCCAATTTTAAAACACCCTGCTGTCCCAGCTGAGATAAAAAGACAAATTATAAATACAATCTTTATACCGACATTAGGTTATCAATGTCAGACTTGGACATTAACAAAAGAACATGAGAGAAGACTAACCACCTGTGAAATGAGATGTTTGAGAATGGCTGCGAATAAAACCAGAAGAGATCGAGTGAGAAACGATGTGATTACAAGAACTTTCGGAACCATACCCATCGTTAAATTTATTGAGAAGCAAAGAATGAAATGGTTTGGTCACCTAATGAGAATGGAACCAACGATGCCAGCATCAAGAGCATACAAAATGAAAATCGAAACAACAAGAGGCAGGGGAAGACCAAGAAGAAGATGGATTGAAGGAGTCACGGACAACTTGAGACTTCATAACATCACGGCATATGAAGCGACTGAGCGCGCCCTGGCTCGGTTGCCGATCATCTGATAGACTGCGACGCCTAGCGGCACAAGCAGATTTTGACAAAAGAAAAGAAGAATAACAATGGGCAGTAAGCACTACATTTGCAGCAGACTGCCTCTACCTGCCTCTATGTGCACTGTAAAACGTACAGTTCCATGCACATATTTTTGTAGTTTTCCATGAACTGGGAGAGGGCTACATTTACTTGACTTTTATTTAATATACAAGTATAAAGAAAAAGACTTATTATTTTGAATGTGACGGATAATATTAAGTGAAAATAGGGAGTGCTGCGGTTAGTTCCTCATGCCTATACACAGGCCAACACTGGAGATATCTTTGCTGTGAAAATTGTCATTGACTAAAACATAAACATTCCACTGTAAGATCTCTTTGAATGTTTCAGAAACAGGCGCAAGTATGTTTCAGCTTTTTTCCCTATGTCCGCGACTGTCCCTTGTGATAAAAATGGACACAGACTGCAGTTTTAGAAAATCCAACAGCATACACACGCATTAAATGCATAAGGCAGCAGTCAGAAGTGCCAACATAAACAGTCTGACACCTAAAATGCGGTTCATTGTCTGTGGAAGCAATAGTTACAACAGAGCAGTAGTTGAACATGCATTTAATTGCATAAGACATCATCAATTCTCTGGCAACAAGCCACTTGCCATTTTCTGAATCTGCAGTTCACAGCACAGACCATGTTGGGCACAGTCAGAATGAAATCCGCAGCTCACAGTATCATGCTATTGGTGACGGATCTGCATGTTTTCACTCTACACAGTGGACAATGCGACAGCTAACTTTTGTCAGAAGCAAAAGCTTGCTATGACTAAAGACAGTAAACCTGTCAGCCTATTGGCCATATTGACAGGAAGCTTATGGTTACAAAGTAAGTTGCTGTCCTATGTGGGTGAGGATTTAATAATCATTGAGCTTCTTGGCCAAGTATCCCATCCTTTGAATATCATAACAGAGAATATGGTCTTATTTGGCAGTTATAAATGAAGGTAACTATTGAGGTGATGACTGTGACAAAAACCAATATCCTGGCTAGAGATGCAGACCAGTATTTTTTTCCATGCCAGCTTTTTCATTCTATGAACATGCACAAGAAGACTTGAGGCAGGGTTGGTTTAAAGACTGGTTGGAATCTCCATTTTGATCATTTTTGGCCCCTGAGTGAACTTGGTTGAAAGATCCTGCTATACGTAGCCAAAGAAGAATAGTAAACCAGCATAGAACAAGTGTTATCAGTGGCCAAATGCTGAGGGAGATTCTAAAGATGGGATATGTGAGTGCTTTTAAACTTGTGCGATTAGGCTGCTGATTGGTCGAATAACTAAGTGAAGGTTGTGTGTTATTTACCCATTTATTTGATCACATTTTGGCACTCATAGAAAGAAGTAGAGACAAGAGGACACACTGGACAACTTAAAAATCAAAAGCTATAGTTACCCTGCAGGGAATTGAACCTGTCGCTTCCAAGTGATGATGGCACCTCACTGCAGAAGCAAATGTGCTAATATGTATGATCACTCAGTACCCCTAAAAAATTGTAATTGAAAGCCAGGAACAGCTTGAATGCAAAACTGTGGAGTATGGACAGAATCATTTGAGACCATTGAAATAGCAGCATAGGTTACAGAAATGTCTGTTAACCAAGCATATGTCTTCTCTGTATCTCTTCAGGGTTCAGAGTTCAGCCTGACTATATTTAATGAAAACAACAATCAACTTCTATTTATTCTCCATCTCTATCAAGATTGTCCTCAAGCTGCTGTATGCCAGAATAATGTCATTTTTCTCAGTAGTTACTTTGTTGTTGTTGTTATTGCTGTATATATATTTGTTTTTATTTATTTGTTTAGCTTTCCATGCATTGCTGCTGATTTGTAGTGTTTTATATCAGTATCTCTGCACTTAAAGCTGCACTGTCTTACCATATACACTTTGTCAATGATCTCATCCCTAATGGTGGACCTATATAGAGCTATTACTATGTATCTATGTGTTCTGAGTTGGTATTTCTGTATGTTGAATGGTTGGCTGCATACTGTGTGTGTTAAATATGTGTGTATGTCTATGTGTCTATCTAGTGGGCTTTATGTGTTTAATAGACATGCACGTACTGCAGGAATATTCAACAAAGTTTACTCAGTGGCCAAAATGTTGGGAAATGGGGATTGTTTAGGGCCAGAGACCTGAGCCTCAGCTTAGAAAAATTATTTAAATGAGTACAATACAACTGGCAGGTGATATGCGGGCCGCTTGCTAGGGCTCTGGGGACCGCCATTTGAATAGTCCAGATGTACTAAGTTAATGATACATAGTTTAGCTGCTGCCTTCCTGTGAGGATATGGTTTAACTGGTGCCAGTGGCCAGATCTTGGATGTTTCCATGACACCAGTGATGATAGAGACTGTGAGGATATGGTTTAACTGGTGCCAGTGGCCAGATCTTGGATGTTTCCATGACACCAGTGATGATAGAGACTGTGAGGATATGGTTTAACTGGTGCCAGTGGCCAGATCTTGGATGTTTCCATGACATCCGTGATGATAGAGACTGTGAGGATATGGTTTAACTGGTGCCAGTGGCCAGATCTTGGATGTTTCCATGACACCAGTGATGATAGAGACTGTGAGGATATGGTTTAACTGGTGCCAGTGGCCAGATCTTGGATGTTTCCATGACACCAGTGATGATAGAGACTGTGAGGATATGGTTTAACTAGTGCCAGTGGCCAGATCTTGGATGTTTCCATGACACCAGTGATGATAGAGACTGTGAGGATATGGTTTAACTGGTGCCAGTGGCCAGATCTTGGATGTTTCCATGACATCCGTGATGATAGAGACTGTGAGGATATGGTTTAACTGGTGCCAGTGGCCAGATCTTGGATGTTTCCATGACACCAGTGATGATAGAGACTGTGAGGATATGGTTTAACTGGTGCCAGTGGCCAGATCTTGGATGTTTCCATGACACCAGTGATGATAGAGACTGTGAGGATATGGTTTAACTGGTGCCAGTGGCCAGATCTTGGATGTTTCCATGACACCAGTGATGATAGAGACTGTGAGGATATGGTTTAACTGGTGCCAGTGGCCAGATCTTGGATGTTTCCATGACACCAGTGATGATAGAGACTGTGAGGATATGGTTTAACTGGTGCCAGTGGCCAGATCTTGGATGTTTCCATGACATGACCAGTGATGATAGAGACTGTGAGGATATGGTTTAACTGGTGCCAGTGGCCAGATCTTGGATGTTTCCATGACACCAGTGATGATAGAGACTGTGAGGATATGGTTTAACTGGTGCCAGTGGCCAGATCTTGGATGTTTCCATGACACCAGTGATGATAGAGACTGTGAGGATATGGTTTTTAACTGGTGCCAGTGGCCAGATCTTGGATGTTTCCATGACACCAGTGATGATAGAGACTGTGAGGATATGGTTTTAACTGGTGCCAGTGGCCAGATCTTGGATGTTTCCATGACACCAGTGATGATAGAGACTGTGAGGATATGGTTTAACTAGTGCCAGTGGCCAGATCTTGGATGTTTCCATGACACCAGTGATGATAGAGACTGTGAGGATATGGTTTAACTGGTGCCAGTGGCCAGATCTTGGATGTTTCCATGACATCCGTGATGATAGAGACTGTGAGGATATGGTTTAAACTGGTGCCAGTGGCCAGATCTTGGATGTTTCCATGACACCAGTGATGATAGAGACTGTGAGGATATGGTTTAACTGGTGCCAGTGGCCAGATCTTGGATGTTTCCATGACACCAGTGATGATAGAGACTGTGAGGATATGGTTTAACTGGTGCCAGTGGCCAGATCTTGGATGTTTCCATGACACCAGTGATGATAGAGACTGTGAGGATATGGTTTAACTAGTGCCAGTGGCCAGATCTTGGATGTTTCCTTGACACCAGTGATGATAGAGACTGTGAGGATATGGTTTAACTAGTGCCAGTGGCCAGATCTTGGATGTTTCCATGACACCAGTGATGATAGAGACTGTGAGGATATGGTTTAACTAGTGCCAGTGGCCAGATCTTGGATGTTTCCATGACACCAGTGATGATAGAGACTGTGAGGATATGGTTTAACTAGTGCCAGTGGCCAGATCTTGGATGTTTCCATGACACCAGTGATGATAGAGACTGTGAAAATGCTTTATTTTTGTTTTTGCCTACCAACTAAAAGAATTGGTAACATAGCCTGACCATGATAAAGGAGAAGATGGATTGTCAACACTAACACCTTTTAGTGACCCAGGCTCACTTTAGCAGTTACAACCTTTGCATAACCCAAACCTTCACTTTCTTCTGACAGTGTCTGAACAGTGAAAAATACAGTTTTTCTACTGATTCAACAATGGATAGACAAGGTGGGGAGGTGAATTGTGGTACAGAATTGTACACCAAAGTGAATGTTAGTTAGCTGAAGTAGATTATCTATATTTGCAATATTTTCTCTAGTAAGAACTTCACTGTCTTTTGTAATTCACTTTGTGACCTATAAAGTTTGGCTTGCTCCGGTGTTTCTCTTGGCCAAACGTGTTGCCTTGATAAGTTGTATTTGGGACACTTGTTATGGATTTGAGTTACTTGTATTCATTCATGGAGAACCAATATTCCGACCATTAGTTCAAAATTTTAGCATGGTAGTATTTTTTTTTTAAAGTGCTGCAAACCTTTATGGTGAAATATTGCAGTTTCATGTTAAATTAATTGTAATTTAAAAATTAACACAGGGCACTACACACACTTTGCAGCCTCATTGAGATCGCTGTCTGCAGGTCAGGAACCAGTAGTCTAGATGGAAAAATAGCAAAACTTGTCTTCTAGGTCAAGGGAATTCATTGGTCAGTTGGTATAAAACCTGCTATAGATGATCAGAAACAGAGTGACGGTATTACAGTAGAACTAAAGATGGTTAGAACATATCTACGGAGGGGTTGCAGACTGAAGAAATGTGTAGATAGGATTAGCTAGATAGGTTATAAAGACTAGAAGTGTGAGCAAGTTACAGACACTCAGCTAGGACTTCAGTCATGCAATGCTTAGCTAGGACTTCAGTCATGCAATGCTTAGCTAGGACTTCAGTCATGCAGTGCTCAGCTAGGACTTCAGTCATGCAATGCTTTAGAAACAGACACTAAGAAATTCAACACTAGACATGTGAAACTTTATGTAGTAGATTGCTTCAGTATCTAGAGAAGCCATATATTTCTTAGAGACTAGAGAGCTTCTTATCTGACTCAGTTTATGTTATGATGAAAGTAGAGACTTTAATTTACACTGTTGAACTTATTCTGGTGTGAATATCAACATTTTTTCTTTACTATATAACTTCATTTTCTACCACCTGATTTGCCAATGTGCTTTTTAATAATGGCTATGGTAAAACAAGTTGAATGTGTGTCGATTAATATTTGATGCAACATGTTTCCTTAACAGTGTTTATTCTTGTTGTTTGTTTTTGTTGTAGGAGGGCTTCAAATAGTTGCTGTTTATGTGTCAGTGATTGTGTTGGCCATCCCTGCTACTTTTGTTCAGCTCAAGTTAGGTGGTTATCTACAGAAAGGCGTTGTTGGAGCATACTCCATCTTTTTCCCTATTTGGAAAGGTAATACAGATTTAAAAGTCTCTACCTTTTTAAAAAAAATTTAAACTTTCTTTCTCTCTTCAAAGTCTCTTCTCATTTCTTTCTTCCTCTTTTATTCTTTATCTCTGTCTGTTTATAAGTGTTGTGCTTATGTGCTTAAATTCTTTTTAGCAGTCGGTGATATTAGTTGCGTCTGCGTGTCACTAGGGTCCTCACGGGAAGCAGAGAATAGTAACTCTCCATCCACCTTACCAGGTATGTCAAAAGAGGCGACTAAGGGTAGGGTTGGGCGTGAGATTGGCTACCTTATCTTGTAAAAACAATCGCCATAAAAACCAACCAAACATGGATAAGTCAAAAAGAGAAACAAGAAAAACCCAGCCAAGATGAAGGGAGGCTTTTCTAGTAGAGTAAGTATGACATGGTGTGGAGAAAGCCGAAAGGAGTCAGGATCATCAACATATCTCCTCACACCTAGGAAACCTCCAGAATTAGCATTTGGAATGTTAGAACTTTGTACGATCTAGGAAGAACAATGGAAGTATTAGGGGAAAGTAAACATTTTAGGATTCGCTTTTTTGGGGGATTATGTGAAACTAGATGGACCGGGGTGGGGAAAATTATTCTAAATTTAGGACAAACTATTTTGTTCTTAGGACATACAGAGGAAAATTATCTCCACATTGAATGCGTGGCTGTGATGCTATTAAAAGAAGCATATAAGGCATTAATAGAAGGAAGCAGTGAGTCCTAGAATAATAAGAGCGTCATTTACAACAGTGAAACAGAAGGTGAACATATGTCAATACAGTGTTATGCGCCAACCAAAGTTAAGGTGGAATTTTACATGCAACTTCAAAATATTATGAATAATGAAAGAAAGGGCAATATAAAAATTGTTTTGAGTGTCTTGAATGCTAAGATAGGATCAGATAACAAAGGTTATGAAGAGATTATGGGAAAGCATGGACTAGGATTAGTAAATAAATATGGAGAATTATTCACAAATTTTTGTGCAAGAAACTAATCTGTTTTTGGTGGATGCATTTTCCCACATTCTCACAAGAATTCACAAGGCAACATGGGAATCACCAGACCGTAAGACAGCGAATCAAATTGATCACATTTGTTTCATAAACAAAACATTTAGATCATCTCCTTATGATGTTAGGGCTTTTAAAGGTGCAGATGTATTTACTGACCATTTTCCGTTGGTAAGAAATATCATGTCAAAAGCCAAAATTTATATGACATATTATAATCATGGAAACCAGTTGTCAGTCTCTAATAAGTACCAGGTGTAGCAGCGGTTAGCTGTTGAGGTAACCACTGAAGTCTGCTGGGATCAGATCAAGCGAATTTTGAATTAATCTTGTGAAGAACTCCTTGGTAAGAAAGAACGGAAACATAAAGCGTGGATAATACCAGAAACCATTAAAATGATAGCGGAATCAGATGCAAGATAAATTAAATATACTTGATGCAAGATCACAGCAGCTTGGTCTGAAAATCCATAAAGGAAAGACAAAGATAATGAGAATAAATCAGGCAAATAGTAATGTGATTTCTCTAAATCGCACCCCACTCCAAGACGTGGAGTCGTACACCTATTTAGGCAGTAATGTAGATAAAGATGGAGGAACTGATAGAGATATTAAAATAAGAATACAAAAGGCAAGAGGAGCTTTCATAGCACTAGGGAATTTGTGGAGGTCAAAAGAAATTAAAAGAAATACTAGGCTAAAAATTTTTTATTTTAATGTCAAATCAGTACTTTTGTATGGGGCTGAAACATCTAGAACAGCTAAGTCAAATACTAATAAATTACAGACATTCATTAACTGGTGCCTGCGCAGAATAGAGGGGATTAAAAGGTGTGATAGAATTATAAACGTAAAGCTTTGGGAGAGAACTAAACAAGTTTCATTGGACCAAAAGGTGAAGAAAAGGCCCAGCATTGGATGGGACACATGTTGAGAAAACCTGAGAACAATATAACTAGAATGTGTTTGCACTGGAACCCACTGGGGCATAGAAATAAAAGAAGACCAAAAATACATGGAGAAGGGAGCTAAAGAGTGAATCTGAAAAGATGGGGAGGACATGGGAGAGCTGCATGTGATAGTGAAGGATATAATGACTTGGCATGAGTTGGTTGAGGGTCTTTGCTTCATTCAGGGTTAGAAGGCAGAAGAAGAAGATATTAGTTGAATACAACAGAAATGTTTCCCTTGAAAGAAGATGAGGCAAAAAGCTAGTCCCTAATACCTTTGAGTATTTATGTCAGGTTTTTATCCCGATAAGGGCCTCAATTGTCGCCAACCCACGTGGAAATATCCCTTTACTTTAGGTAGTGAGTATGTGGGTTTGAATCCTGAGCAATGTTGATCCCAGACACAGTCCTGGATAACCAAGAAAACAGCAAAAGTAGCTCGTTCCATCAAATGAAAGTAGCTGTACTTGTATCCACAGGAGTAGGAAAAAGGGATAGATAGACATCAAGATGAATTTAATGAGATGATAATATCCAGATGCACAGTTAACCCCTCAGACTTTCTCATCTCCTTGTATTAATTTATAACAAAAGCTCCCATCAGGTGATTTATTTATAGGTGAGCTGAGGTAAACTAGTATGCACAAAGACACTTAAACCTAAGAACACAATTTACTCAACTATTAGTTTAGAACTTGACATGAAGTTTTATAATTAAATCTAAAGCAAAATAAGTGGAATAGTATTGATTTACAGTGTTACAATCAAGAATCAGATGCTATGATGATGATGCATCATTCAATGAATTCAGTGAGCATATCAGAGGGATGAGGTTGTGATGATAACAATTCTTATTAACAAGAATAAAAGTTTTATATAATTTATGATACAAATGGAGAAAATTAACCCCCGACAGTTCTCAGTTTGAGACCCTGCCTATCTCTTATCCAGTTTGTCGTCCTTGCTGCTTCAAACAGGTCGTTACATTTAGACTGTCTGCAAAGAATGGATGCCAACTGGTCCCTGCCTAATGTGGGAACTGTGATAAAGAAACAAGCGCATATGTGTAGTATCTAGACTTACACCAAACATTACTATTCTAATAAAAATATTTCCTCTCTCCCCCTCATATTCACATTCTCTCCTGTCCAGTCTGGAAGGACTTCATCTCACATTGTAATTGTTTCATTTCCTGCCTTTCTCTACTCATGTCCAGTCTGGAAGGACTTCATCTCACATTGTAATTGTTACATTTCCTGCCTTTCTCTACTCATGTCCTGTAATGATAGTTGACTCCTCTAAGTCTGATGTTGTCTCTTGTTCAGGCCCAAAATTGACATTCGGTTTGACATGCAAGTTCTGGAACTAATGCCTGAAATAGTGTATGTGCCTAGAATGATAACAAAATTTCTGGGGCAACATCAAATATAAATTCTCAGGGTTTCACTCTCCGGGGTCAGTCTCTGGTATTAGCCTCCCGGGAGCTCAGTACATTTCAGTGTATTAGCTGTATGTGATATAGATTCAAAATAACCGCATGTGAAGAGACTCTCAAATTTATCTTCACTCTTGGGATTTCATAAAAATGATAGTTCATTAAATTTCAATGGTAACATTAGTATTCAAGTTATACATTATTGAAAAAAAATGTACACTGAAAACATACATGACAATATCAGTTAAGATATAGAGCAATTTGATAGTACCCTACTGGAATGGAGAAATGTCCGCTAAGGAGTACTTGAAGTAATAAGTACACACTTGAGCAGAGGGAGTATTGAGATTTCTATCATGAAATTAAGGTTGAAAATAGTTTTGTTTAGTGGAAAATGAAAACACAATGCTACAGTTCTGTCTCAGGCTTAGACTTTAAGCCCAGCAGATGGCAGTCTAAAGTTCCAACATCACAGATACCAATTACTAGTCGGTCACTTGACTGAGAAAGAGCTTGGTGCCAAGGATCACTTCAAACATTTAAGTGAAATGAGATCTCAGTATATAGCTACTGTCTTCTTCTTCTTCTTCCAAAAAAAAAAAAAAGTTCAACTAGTTAAATACAGTGCATTTTGATACTTCAGCTAAATGACTACTCTTGGTGGTTACCCACATGGACCATCATACCTGGTACCAAGGATGATTTCTATGAGGCTCCCACAGCCTACCTAGCCCTGAATGGCTTGTTTTATTTGTTTTCATAGCCCCAGCAGAATTAGATCTTAATTCCTGGTATAATATTAGAACATTTTGGTGTTTAAAAAAAAAACTGAATAAAACCTGCATGTAGTTTCTCAAATTTTGAATCTATAATAACCTGTGTATAACAGACTCCTACTTCCTAACTAGGGTCAGTAGTGTCACTGAGACATCCATGCTTCAGACATCAGTGTCAGCTTAACTTGATTACTGTTAGATGGGCGGTCCTCAGATAGCTGCTTATTACACATTTCCATAATATTAATATTAAACCAGCATCAACGGTTATGATTGAAGCCTTGTCTGGTGGGATGGCTTGTGTGCTCTAATGATTCTCAGAGCTATGCCAGTGGGCTGATCATTCCGGTGGCAGGTTTAACCAAGCCGAACAGGTCTTCTTAAGACGAGTCAGACCATACTAGCACTCTGGTTTTCCAGGTTGACTGTTGGACAAGGGGTTCAGAACCCATTACAATTTTTTATTTTTAAAGAGCTATTGTAATGGAAACAGGATCAAGTGAAAACATTGCACCAGCAAAACGCCAGGCAGCTGATGAAATTATGGCTGGATATCAAAGCCGAAAGGAAATGCAACAGACTGGCAGCAATGGAGATCACTTGTGAATGCCTTATGTGCCAACAGTGAATTAAAGAGGATATGGATAGATATATTGATAGTCATGACTGACAGATTTTTTAGACTTGGAGAAACCTCTTCAGTTTTTTGCAAAACCTTTAGTACTGTCACACAACTGTCTTCCAGGCCATTATGCTCATCTATACTTCTTTCTGTCTCCCTCTGGCGTTCTTCTTCTGTAACTTTCCCTTGAACATGACATATTTCAGTATTCTTCTTATGATATGTCTAAGGAAAATGGAACCTCGAACAATAAAAATAATTGAAAGAAAATGTGTATAATCTTTGTGTGTTTTCTTGTATTTGAAAATAGGTGTCGGGATTTCAGCTCTGTTTGATTTACTGCTGCTTGTGGCAACATATGCCCCACTGGTCGCACATCTAGGAACATATGCCTTCATAGCTATATCCAGTGAAGACTACACTTGGGGATCCTGTGATCTAGTTAAGCACATCAGTCATGAAAATGAAGTTTGTGTTTCAGAGAAAGAAAAGTAAGTTCATTGTTTTCCCTGTTGCATGTTGACCTGTGCTTTATTTCTCTAGTTCCATTGTCTAATTGTTGTCATATGTGTTTGTGAGACTTGAGAAAATGTTCAGTATGTCTTAGAATACTGATTTCAGAATTCAGTCAACCTTGTCTCTTTGTTGTGGAAAATATATATAAAAGAACCACATTGTTCATGTTATTAATACATATTAATTGGTTAATTTAGGTGTGCATTAGGGCATCAGTAGTTGGTCCTTTATTTCCATCCTGTGCTGTAGTTGCAAATAATTATCCATAAGTTACAGAAATTTCAGTAAAATATCACATCTTCTTATATTCATTAATTTGTTTAAATTTCATTACTTTTCATATAAAGGATGTATCAGTTGTTTTTCTCTCTGTGAAAAGTACTATTTTTGTTAGGGCTTGTACAGAATTACTTGGAGAATGAAAATTCTGATCATAGTCTTTATTTAATCTATTGTCCCATCTTTCCAACTGAACACTTTATGTAAACAGCTTAATTTAGTACTTTGTGTCATTTTAGAACTGTTATGAGATGAGAAATCATTTTGAATAAAGTTTCTAAAATTTGACTGTGATTGGTGCCTAGTGCAAACATTAATAGAGAGGGGAGGCAAGTGCAAGCTGCACACTAGCTACTGGTAGTAAAAAGTCTAGGATGATACTCCTGTTATAAAAGGTAAAGTCGGGAGATGTGAACCAGCGTCAGTGCACACGGTTATAAACTATAAGTGCTCTGCCACCTGTACGGACAGCTGTTTAAAAAAAAAAATTATCTGCCTATCTCGCCATCCACTTGCAACTCCAAAGCTACAGCGACGTTCCTCCATTTACCATAGAGTGTTAACTCTGGGACCCATTACCTAGAGGCTGGGTGAACCCCTAGAACTGTTCGGTTTCGAACACCCGAAGTGGGTTGCAGCGAGTCGCAGCTGGATTTGAAAGCAAGTCTTGACTCCGCTAATGTGGCCCCCCGTCATACCCACCAATTAGGGTTAACAGTTTGGTGCTGGGCTCTATACATGTGTGATAAAGAGCTTTCAAAAAGTGATTTTATGTTCACTATTACACTCATTTCCTTACCTGCCAGATTATTTCTTCGAACCTATTTCATGTACCCGAGCTGATCCTGAGATTGTGCAGTTGCATGCAAATTTACAGATGAAGTAGGATTTTAATCCAGAACTACCATTTAGATAGGTTGACCACATTTAATAAGCCAGGATGGAATAAGTTGATCATTACGGAGAAAATGCCTGGCCTAATAATAGTCTTATGTTCTCCTTTTTTTTTTAATTTTAAGTTCATCAGATTGATACTTATTGTTATTCTTCTTTTGCAGTGGTGTACCTGGTGACATTAGCAGAGTGGCACACAGACCAGAGGAGTTGTTTTATAAGTAAGATAGATGTCCACAATTCCAATAGGTGACTTTAAATGTGTGAGAGATACCCAAGATATCTGTTGTTGAAGTTATCTGTGTGATAGATACCCAAGATATCTGTTGGTGAAGTTATCTGTGTGAGAGATACCCAAGATATCTGTTGGTGAATTTATCTCTGTGAGAGATACCCAAGATATCTGTTGGTGAAGTTATCTGTGTGAAAGATACCCATGATATCTGTTGGTGAATTTATCTGTGTGAGAGATACCCAAAATATATGTCAGTAAATTTATCTGTGTGAGAAATACCAAAGATATCTGTTTATGAAGTTAACTGTGTGAGAGATGTCCAAGATATCTAGAGGTGAAGTTAATTGTGTGAGAGATGTCCAAGATATCTAGAGGTGAAGTTAATTGTGTGAGAGATGTCCAAGATATCTAGAGGTGAAGTTAACTGTGTGAGAGATGTCCAAGATATCTAGAGGTGAAGTTAATTGTGTGAGAGATGTCCAAGATATCTAGAGGTGAAGTTAATTGTGTGAGAGATGTCCAAGATATCTAGAGGTGAAGTTAATTGTGTGAGAGATGTCCAAGATATCTAGAGGTGAAGTTAATTGTGTGAGAGATGTCTACAATATTTGTATGTGAAGCTAATTGTGTGAGAGATGTCCAGTTATCTAAGCTAACTGTATGAGAGATGTCTGTGATATCTTAGCTAACTGTCTGAGAGATGTCCAAGATATTTACGTCAACTGTTTGAGAGATGTCCAAGATATCTAAGCTAACTGTGTGAGAGATGTTCAAGATATTGTAGCGAACTGTTTGAGAGATGTCTATGATAGCTGTGCACAATATCTTAGCTAACTGTGAAAGATGTCCAATTTATCTAAGCTAACTGTGTGAGATGTCCACAGTATCTAAGCTAACTGTATATCACATGTCCATGATATGTTAGCTAACTGTGAGAGATGTGCACAATATCTTAGCTAACCGTGTGAGAGATGTCCAAGATAGCTAACTGTGTGAGAGATGTGCACAGTATCTTAGCTAACTGTGTGAGAGATGTGCACAGTATCTTAGCTAACCGTGTGAGAGATGTCCAAGATAGCTAACTGTGTGAGAGATGTCCAAGATATCTAAGCTAACTGTGTGAGAGGTGTCCAAGATTTATAACTGTGTGAAAGATGTGCACAATATCATAGCTAACTGTGTGAGAGATGTCCAAGATATCTAAGCTAACCGTGTGAGAGATGTGCACCATATCTTAGCTAACTGTATCAGAGATGTCCAAGATATCAAAACGAACTGTGTGAGAGATGTCGAAGATATCAAAGCGAACTGTGTGAGAGATGTCCAAGATTGCTAACTGTGTGAAATATGTGCACAATATCATAGCTAACCGTGTGAGAGATGTCCAAGATATCAAAGCGAACTGTGTGAGAGATGTCCAAGATATCAAAGGGAACTGTGTGAGAGATGTCCAAGATTGCTAACTGTGTGAAATATGTGCACAATATCATAGCTAACCGAGTGAGAGATGTCCAAGATATCAAAGCGAACTGTGTGAGAGTTGTCCAAGATATCAAAGCGAACTGTGTGAGAGATGTCCAAGATTGCTAACTGTGTGAAATATGTGCACAATATCATAGCTAACCGTGTGAGAGATGTCCAAGATATCTAAGCTGACTGTATGAGAGATGTCCACAATATCTAAGCTAACTGTGTCAGAGATGTCTTAAATGTTTTAGCTAAATGCATGAGATATGTCGAAGATATCTAAACTAACTGTGTGAGAGATGTCTGAGATATCTTAGCTATGTGAGAGATATCCAAGATATCTAAGCTAATTGTATGAGGGATGTCTTGAGATATCTTAGCTAACTGTGTGAGAGATGTCAAAGATAAATATAGGTAGTTAACTGTGTGAGAGATGTCCAAGATATCAAAGCTAACTGTGTGAGAGATGTCCAAGATATCAAAGCTAACTGTGTGAGAGATGTCCAAGATATCGAAGCTAACTGTGTGAGAGATGTCCAAGATATCAAAGCTAACTGTGTGAGAGATGTCCAAGATATCAAAGCTAACTGTGTGAGAGATGTCCAAGATATCAAAGCTAACTGTGTGAGAGATGTCAAAGATAAATATAGGTAGTTAACTGTGTGAGAGATGTCCAAGATATCTATAGGTGAAGTTTACTGTGTAAGGGATGTCCAAGATATCTATAGGTGAAGTTTACTGTGTGAGAGATGTCCAAGATATATATATAGGTGAAGCTAACTGTATTAGAGATGTGCACATTATCTAAGCTAACTGTGTGAGAGATGTCCAAGATATCAAAGCTAATTGTGTGAGAGATGTCTAAGATAGCCAACTGTGGGAGAGATGTGCACAATATCTTAGCTAACTGTGAGAGATGTCTAATATATCTAAGCTAACTGTATGAGAGATGTCTATGATATCTAAGTTAACTGCGTGAGAAATGTCCAAGATATTTAAGCTTACTATGTCAGAGATGTCTAAGATAGCTGTGAGAGATGTCCAAGATATCTAAGCTAACTGTATGAGGGATGTCCAAGATATCCAAGCTAACTGTGTGAAAGACGTCCAAGATATCTTAGCTAACCATGTGAGAGATGTTCAACATATGTAAGCTAACTGTATGAGATATGTCAACTATATCTGTAAGTGAAGCTAGTTGTATGAGAGATATTTAATATATTTGTTCACGATCATGTCCACTGAGGAGTAAAAATAATCTTAAAATGAAAAATCTGTGGGTGAAGTTAATTGTGTGAGAGATGTCCAAGATATCTGAGCCTGCTGTATGAGAGATGTCCAAGATATCTGTATGTGAATCTGACTGTATGAGAGGTCTTAGTCAAGGTTTTAACTTTACTGCAATCGGGTTTCTCCATACTTGCTCCATTCCTGTGCCAGTGAAAATCAAAAATAATGTCCCCCACTCTCTCATTTGAAAATCTGGTTAACAAACAATTAGTCCAGGCACAGTGCAGAAATATGTGCACACAGTAAAAAGCATATGGCACTTCCTAGAGGTGCCAAAGCCAATAGTTGCCACCAGAAATGCACTTTGTCATTGATGGGTATAGTCGGGCAAGATAAGTTAGCTATAAACATGTAGAATTATTGCATAAGGTATTTCACCAGCCCACACGTAAACCAGCTACCGGCCATATTGAATACAACAACTCAACTGCTACAGTAACAAAAGGCATTCCACATGAAAAACACAGCTCACAAGGCTGCACCAAGCACTCTGTAGCTCAAGCAGTAGAACCGTAGACTACCATCCTTATGTGGAAACTGCATTAGCAAAGTGCAGTCGGAAGCAAAAATAACTGAAGCTTAACATTCTGCCATGCCTAGTCTTCCATTTTGAACTGGAAGTTGTCCAAGATATCTGTAGGTGACTAATTTTAGAGACACCTCAAGATGTTTGTAATTTTCTTTTTCATGGCTTTCAGATAAAATATATGCTTTAAGTCTCCTTACATTTATCCAAGGACTTCTATACATGATTAATTCCAAATATTTCTAACCTGCTACCAGCAGTATACCTTGTATACTGAAAGTTTTAGGGCCTGGTTAATTTTTGAGACCGTTACAATAAGTTTGTCTTTTATTTCTTGATCTCTTAGATATCCATTGATTTTCAAGTTAGCAGTCCCAGGAAGTGGTAAACTTTAAGGTATATAGGGCATGATGGGTGGTTTCAAATAGTGATAAGCTATTGCTAACTAAATTTCTGTTAAGTGGAAACGGGGATCTCTCGGCAGCAGTTCATAGATTTCATGTTTATTTTATCTTCCCACTTGTACATAGCAAACAGATGCAACTCTGACTCTAAACACTTGGAATGCAAGTCATACATTAAAGAAAAAGTGGCACCTTGGGGACTGTTAATCTTATGGATAAAATCTGTGACCATTCAAACACAAGACAGATTTATCCTGGGCTGTGCAGTATGTTCTGTCCCAGATGAATACATACAGTTGAATGTGTGAAAGGTGGCAGTTGCTTTTCAAGGGATGACAACAATTGAGCTCTGTCTGTCATCGACTGATTCATCGACAGATTATCTTCATCGCATGCTGGACACCATAAGCACTCCCATCTTTAGTATCTTTCTCAATGTGAGGCGACTGATAACACTAGTTCTGTGTTAGTTGGCTATTCTTCTTTGGCTACCAGTATAATGTTCATTACTGGTGACATTTTGACATGAAGTTCTTGTACTTTTGTCAAGGTTGCCTATTTCCTGTCATTTCCTGAATCATCTACTCATCCTGCCTCCACTAAAAACATCTGCCCAGTCCATAACTTCTTTTCCTGTACTTATTATGGCCCTGCCAACAAGCCAGTCTGCTCGTTCATTCACTCCTACCCTGAGGGCTGTCAATGAATCTAGCTATTGCCCTCAGAGTAATGCTCATGGAATCATTTATAGAAAAAAATCTGTCTTTAGCCTCAACTTCTTTTGTTACCATTATAATCTCCATTAGCCTACTACTTGTAGACAAGGCAAAGACACTGCTATCTTCTTTTACTATTCTCCCTCGAACCAGAACCATGAAATCCCATGAGCATTGTATGTGTCGTACGACAGATCCATCATTGTAAGTAACTGCACTTCCATCGATCTCTGAGACTGCTATCTTTATGTTGTATACAGTATTTTGTTTCATTCCCACACTTGAATCCAGCAAAACTAAGTAACCTGTTTTGTTCATTTGCTAGACACGAGTTTCTTCAGTTGTCCCCAGCGGTCGATGTCATTGATGGCTTCCCACAGTGGCGGTTTACAGACCTAGCAAGAAAGGCAGAGATTTCTTTGATGCCTGTCACATTAGCCATTGTCTGGGTTCTGGTGTCATTGTTTGTAGGCTTTGGACCTAGGATTTGTGGATGGGTAAGTTGCATCTCACGTAAACTGTTCAATAAAGAAGCATTTGTGTATGAACAGGTTAAATAAATGTGCACATTTCTATATTTATGGACAGAAGAACTGTTAAAAGAAAGAAAGGAACAAGTAATATGCTTATACAAACTACAGATCTAGCATGTTTTCTTTTTCTGCATTCACCTTTTAACTTTTAAAAGGGTGATTGGCACATTTTGTTATGGGTTACAGTTAGGCTGTGACATCTTCATCTTGAGGCCTAACACATACAGTTAGGCTGTGACATCTTCACCTTGAGGCCTAACACATGCAGTTTTAGCAAACTATTCATTAGTCACCTTTTACAACATGGCTTAAGGGTCAGTGGAACTATTCTTCCCCCCCCCCCCCCCCCCCCCCCCCCCCCCCCCCCCCCCCCCCCCCCCCTCCTAAATGTGGCCTTAAACCTGCATGAGGAAAGTTCAGCGTTTCATGAGTGAGGTGAGTACATTTGGGAACAACTGTTGTCTGATGTTAAATTTTAGTTGATTAAACAGCTTCTGTTCAGTATAGAGGGTAGGCAGATTTACTGTTTTTAGTCAGGGCAGGTTCTTTTTTTTCTGACAGTACTTGGCCAATGCATTTTCTCCATTTATAGACTGGAAGGAAATAATTGTGTTGCCGGGCACTGAGTTGAGTACATGGCACGACCGTGTTAGCTGCATATTCCATAAAAAATTTTTTCTACTTTGTCTAACATGGTTTGTGTTGTGAACTGTAGATTCTGAAAATGGCGCGGCTTTTTGCCAGAGAACTTGAGATGCCTTATGTGATTAATCGCATGTGCAAATATCGATCTGTTGTAACTGTTGCTTCAATCGAACATGATGGACTGCATTTCTAGTGTCAGTCTGTTTGTTTTGGCACTTCTGGCTGCCTCATGAATTTAAAGAGTGTTTACGCTATTAGATATAAGTGTACTGGCTCGTTGGCATCTTAGTTTGATTTCCTGCTTTATTCTCCCATCCTCCTAAATATCTTACCAGATATTTAAATTCTGTAACTTGCTTCAGACAAGTACCATTCAACCCGATATGTAGCAGACTAGGAATTCTGCTGACCTGCATGACTTCAGTTTTAGTTGTATTTATTCTTCATTTTGTCTGCATGTTGAACTTAAGTCTGTTCAAATATTCTTGCAGTCTAATACCCTCATTGTAGAATAGGCACTGATCATCTGTAAACAGTAGCTCCTTTATTGTGTGTGGATCTCATTCTTCCTCAGAAATTCCTTATCTTCTGGATTTTCTGGGTCAACTGCATTAAAGCTGGCATCTTTTGATATTCAGTCTCTGTATATAGTAAATAAAGGAGGTGAGAGCACACATTGCTGCCTCACTTCTGTATCGATTGTAAACATAACAGATATGCCTTCTTGTATTTTCACTGCGCTTTGGGAAGTGTGGTACCTGGCCATGATGTTATCTGGCAATTGTCCTTGTATTCCATAATCCTCAAGAATATCCCATAGTTTGTTTTTATACTCAGTCAAAAGCTTCTTTTTTTATCTACAAACACAATATTCAGTTTATTGTCATATTCATTAGTTCTTTTGCAAACTTGTCTTAGTGTTAATAATTCATCTGTGCAGCCTTTCCTTTCCTGAAATCAAATTGTGATGCACTTTGGTGCTGTTCTGCAATAGGAGCACTTGTACTAACTCTTGACATCTTCTTTCCAGCCTTTTTCCATGATTCATCTTTGGAAGCATTGATCATTCATTTAGCCTGTCTTCTTATCAATCTATATGTACCATAATCTTGTTCACTTTTGAATTTAATGCATTTTTTTTTTTAATGCTTCCTTCTTTTTTAGAAATAATATCTTTGGCATCTTTTTTCCACCATTCAGTTTCTAATCATTTGTCCTGTCCTGCTTTTTTAATTCCACATTTGTTTTGAAGAGTGTAGAGTATGACAGATTTGAAGTGTGCACATTCGTTCTGTACATCTGAGTACTCAGCAGCAAGGTTATTAAGCAGCTATTTTATGATCAGTATCAGTGACCGTGTTTGCTTGTGCTCTTGAGTCTAATAATTGTATGTAATATAAAGTTTGGTTTTCTTATTAGAATAAGATCAATCTGAGATGCCTGGTTGTATTATTCCATTCATACCAAGTTTTGATGAGACTTTGTCGATAATTATGCCTCCTTCTCCAAAAAATAATATTACAGTCCACCTCACACTTGATGGAAGCTGTAGAGAGCGGATTCCTGGCATTGTTGACACTTTTGTCAAAACACTGATTGATGAAAACACAGATGAAGGTGATGCTATAGTTTACACAGATGGCTCAGTAATTCGGGCAAGCAAAGTGCATGTGCCTTCACAGTAAGCTCAAGGGGGAAAAACATCAAGGAGATGAATGGCACCTTTGCTGTTACAACAAGTAGCCTGACAATGGATACTATGGCTGTAACAAGGGCATTAGCATGGCTTGGTACTCAAAACTTCACACACGTATGCATTCTTAGTGACTCGATAAATATCCTTTAAAAAATCCAAGCTAGATTTATCAGAAAAGAATGGATTGCAACACTAAGCACTTCACGAATAGCTACCATAACCTTCATCTTTGTGCCAGGTCATGCAGATGTTTAAGGAAACGAGCATGCAGACTATCTTGCTGACACTGCGGTTGTTATGACTGGTCCAGTACTGGACATAAGTGGTTTTAACAATGCCATGCGCTGCACTTACCGTACCGAAGAGCACGCCGAAGGACATGACTCCGTATCCCTGTCTAGACTGATGGACATAGGGGTGCAGCCAGGAGCTGCAAGAAATGAATATTTCACTAAGGCGACAAGACATTTCATTAACCAGCACAGAACAGATGCCATCAGTCATTGTACACTTGTGGAGCTTTTAGGAAGGAGATCGGAGCACCTATGGTTCTGTCCAGAGTGCTTGATTTTCTTTCTAATCACTAATCACTATGTCGATGTTGGCAAAAACTATTTGTTATTATTAGTCCATGTTAGAACACAGGTTGAGTAGGGATTCACCATTGCTATTACATTCCCTCTCCACATTGCTGTATGGTCCTATGCAGTCTTCTCATAGTGTTCTTCTTTTACTTACTCTGCCGTTGAAATCGTCTATCACTATCAGTACATCTTTCTCACTCACTGTATTTAATATGTCTGAAAGATGATCGAAGTATTCATTTTATTCTTTTTCACTGTAGCTGTTAATGCACGGAGCTTCAATTTCCTCCATAATTCTCAAACAATATCAGTTGAACAAATACATTCCCTACCGGTTTGCTGGACCTGTTGTAGGATCATTCTTATTTAAAATGTTGGTGTTGAAATCTCAGACTAGTAGACATTTTAACCTGCACTGAATTAGCAAAGAATGTTTGGTAACATCTTGGTAACCAATTACTAAAGAAAGTAATACAGTTGGCTTCTGTTTGTTAGAGGTAAAATAAAACTGCGAACACATACATTATATGAGTGAAAATAAAATAAATAACTCCTTTTTGCATTATTAGATTTGTTAGGTCCTGTATTTCTTTTAGACCACCTGGCACTAAGTGGGTGATGTAGTCAGTGTCATGCCAGTCGACTTTGCTCTCCAGGAAAATTTCCTGGAGCTGTTTTTAAGCTGGGTCTCCTTGGGAAAGTGCACCACACACAGAAAATGTGTCCTCATGAGGATTTGAATACAGAGCTCATGGCTTGGCTTCCTTTACACAGTGTAGCATCTGTTAAATTCTTCCTGTATTCTCCAGTAGAGAAAAACCCTCCAAGTAGACAGCCATAATTTTTAAAAAAAAGTATTTTTTCAATGGTTTTGATGAGTGACATTATATACCTACCTTCAGCATTGTTGATTGTTTTCTGCTAGATTTTTTGCTTCTAAACAACCTCATGTCCACATTTATTCGTATCACAGCTTTATTACTCACTGTATGTCAGTAACATCTATACATCAAAACAGCAGATTTTGCAGTAAGCATTGTTAATGCTTGTAAAAGATTCTCTAGAAATGTTAATTATTCTTATTCAGCTAACAAAATCTGACCAGAAATCAATCAGGGTATGTCAAGATGTGCATGGAACAAAGTGAAGGTACTTATTTGTTGGAGCCAGAAGATCAGAGACTGATTTATGATTTGCTGATTTAAAAGCTGTGTAATTTGCACAAGATAAGTGTTGAGACATTCTTCTGTCATGGCATTGAGTGGTGTCTTCACACACACTGATACATGCTGTTGAAGATCGAGATTGCGGAGAGGCATGATCATCCATGCCAGTTGGCAAGGAACTTGATGATGATGTATAGCTTCAACTCTGTGGCACAGTTTTCTGTAGCCTTGAGTCTGGTTTTAAATGATTGTCTTCCACACTGCTTCTCTTAAGTTCTGTATTCTGCATCAGCACATAATGTACATCTTCTCTATCAGATCCTGTTCCTGCTCGGTCCGGCAGCTGTGTTATCTCTGCTCACAGTTTTGGGTTATGGCTTTCATCACCTGGATAAAACTCACTCACTTGAGTACCTCAAGCAGCTGTACATGTTTAAAGACAGTGACGAAGATACCTTTCAAGTAAGTATCACTTGTATTGACATGCTTCTTCAAGTAACTAGATTACCCACAGTCACACTTAAAGTTGAAAAGTTAAGGTATTTTTTTCGAAGTCAGAGTGAATTTGTTCGAGAGGCGAGTAACAAACAGTCTGCTTACAAATAAGCCAGATCTGTAATTTAGATTTATGTGTAAAACCCAAGTTGTGGAACAAGACTAAAAGTCCAGAAGTGGACGAAGAATCATAAATTTTCCGCCAATGTTTACAGCCGGTGAAGGCAAATAAGAAGAAGAAGAAAAGGTGAAATAAAAACGGAGTGACATCCATGATTTCTAGTCTGAACAGATTTTTAAAAAAAACTTTACATTATAGTGAAACAGGCAGGTGCAGAGCTCAGAAAAAAAAATCTGATTTCAATGTAAAGCACTTTGTAGTGGTCAGAGACTAACTATATTCACCAGTCAAATCTAGTTTCCACCAGTTAAAGGTCTCCTTGATGAAATGTAATGTTTAGCATGAATTAACATGCAATAATGAGAGGCACAGAGGGTTTACCAATGTGTTTTTTTATATTGGAAAAAGAGGCAAGGGAGGGGGGGGGGGGGGAGTGGATTTGTTAAACAGATGAACACTTAAGATGTAACTTCTTTTTCATAATCCTTTTTTTTAAAAATGTCATATTAAAATAAAGCAAATGTGTCCAGTTCATTTTTAGCTGTAAGTACTAATCTTTCTCCTATTTTCTGTGTGATTGAAAATACATCTGTTTCCCCAGTATTGCAAAGTGCAAATCTATTACTTATCTATTACTATTTAACTGCCATTTCAAAAATGAACTTTTTGTTTTTCACCGAGATTATTTCATTAAAAGACCGCTATTTGACACCTTTTTGACACATATTTTGTGCTTCATAATCATTTCATAATAATTATGTAATCTGTATTTCGAGTAGTCTGTGTTTCATGTAGTCATTGTTTCATGTAGTCATTGTTTCATGTAGTCATTGTTTCATGGAGTCAGTGTTTCATGTAGTCAGTGTTTCATGTAGTCTGTGTTTCATGTAGTCAGTGTTTCATGAAGTCATTGTTTCATGTAGTCTGTGTTTCATGAAGTCTCTGTTTCATGTAGTCTGTGTTTCATGAAGTCAGTGTTTCATGTAGTCTGTGTTTCATGTAGTCATTGATTCATGTAGTCTGTGTTTCATGTAGTCAGTGTTTCATAAAGTCAGTGTTTTATGTAGTCTGTGTTTCATGTAGTCTGTGTTTCATGTAGTCTGTGTTTCATGTAGTCATTGATTCATGTAGTCTGTGTTTCATGTAGTCAGTGTTTCATAAAGTCATTGTTTCATGTAGTCTGTGTTTCATGTAGTCTGTGTTTCATGTAGTCAGTGTTTCATGTAGTCTGTGATTCATGTAGTCTGTGTTTCATGTAGTCAGTGTTTCATGTAGTCAGTGTTTCATGAAGTCATTGTTTCATGTAGTCTGTGTTTGACGTAGTTCTTTGTTTCATGTAGTCTGTATTTCATGTAGTCTAGTCTGTGTTTTATGTAGTCAGTGTTTCATGTTGTCTGTGATTCATGTAGTCTGTGATTCATGTAGTATAGTTTGTTTATCTGTGCTTTGTTTAGTCTGTTTATTTTAGTCTGATTAAAATAGCAATGTTTTGTCTAGTCTGTGTTAAGTTTATTTGATGTTCTTCATACATTGTTTATGTTCAGACATGGTTGAAAGGCTTTCACTTGCTGATGTATACCTTTCCTATGTGGACGGCCATATGTTGCACTATGGGCAAGTTTTGTGGCAGGAGTCGAAAAATTCGCAATTTGTAAGTTCATGTTGTGTTATATAAAGTTTATGCTGCTGGGGGGGGGGGGGGGGGGTTGGGTGTAATAAGCGAAAATTCAATTGAAAGAAGCCTAGAGTGCTCTGTTATTGAGGAAATTATTATATAATATTTGTTAGTAAAATACAGTAATGTTATAATACTTTTTTAAGGACCAGTTACATTTTTCAGGCCCAGTTACTCGTGCACTTTCACTCTCTCTCACTCACTCTCTCTCTCTCTCTCTCTCTCTGTCTCTCTGTCTCACTCTCTCTCTCTCTCTCTCTCTCTCTCTCTCTCTCTCTCTCTCTCTCTCTCTCTCTCTCTCTCTCTCTCTCTCTCTCTCTCTCTCTCTCGTGGTGGGTGCAGGTTCACACACATACCTCTTGATACAGATGAGACAGCCTGGCAAATGTTTTTGACAATAAGTCCCTGGATACCCAATGACAGCCTATAATTAGTTCATAAAACAAAAGTAAGCTGGTTGGGTTTTCCTGCAGTGAGAAAGATCAATTTAGATGCCTAGAGATGAAAAATTATCTAGACCAGGCATTTCTTCACTCCTGATGTTTTCTTTTCTGTTTAATTTTTCATTGTTCCCCCATATAAAAGAAGAATATGGACAAGAAATTACATTAGCACATAACACAGGCCTAGAAACACTTTAACTAACTATGATTGAAAATAATATATAGCTGTTTATTAAAAGAAAGTGATTTCATCTGGTTGGTTTTGACTACACTGCTTAAAGTGAATAGATTAATTTGGAGGAAATTATGGGTGGAGCAATCTGTTTAGTCAGGGGGTTGAGAGTTGTTAAAATAGTTGGTCACAAAGTTATTACAACCTAGTGTGTTGCATGCTTGGCCAGCTACACTACAAGGATAGGTTGTCCTTTTCTCAGAGGTACAACATTGTCATCTAGCCAGACATTGTTCTTGGCCTCAGCAAAGTTTTCTCCCAAGGATCAGGGTTCTTTCCTAGATTCTTTATCGAACTGTAGATAGAGACAAGGAAAACATATACTTCCCTAGTTCTTTGTATAGTACGAGCTACAGTTAACTCTCACCTCTCTCCTCCTAAAGTACTAGATACAATTAACTTTCACCTCTCTCCTTCTCGCATAGTAGAAGATACAATTAACTCTCACCTCTCTCCTTCTCGTATAGTAGAAGATACAATTAACTCTCACCTCTCTCCTTCTCGTATAGTAGAAGATACAATTAACTTTCACCTCTCTCCTTCTCGCATAGTAGAAGATACAATTAACTCTCACCTCTCTCCTTCTTGTACAGTACAAGATACAATTAACTCTCACCCTCTCCTCCTTCTCGTATAGTAGAAGATACAATTAACTCTCACCTCTCTCCTTCTCGTATAGTAGAAGATACAATTAACTCTCACCTCTCTCCTTCTCGTATAGTAGAAGATACAATTAACTCTCACCTCTCTCCTTCTCGTACAGTAGAAGATACAATTAACTCTCCCCTCTCTTCTTCTCCGTATAGTAGAAGATACAATTAACTCTCACCTCTCTCCTTCTCGTATAGTAGAAGATACAATTAACTCTCACCTCCTCTCCTTCTCCTACAGTAGAAGATACAATTAACTCTCACCTTTCTCCTTCTCGTATAGTAGAAGATACAATTAACTCTCACCTCTCTCCTTCTCGTATAGTAGAAGATACAATTAACTCTCACCTCTCTCCTTCTCGCATAGTAGAAGATACAATTAACTCTCACCTCTCTCCTTCTCGCATAGTAGAAGATACAATTAACTCTCACCTCTCTCCTCCTAAAGTACTAGATACAATTAACTCTCACCTCTCTCCTTCTCGTATAGTAGAAGATACAATTAACTCTCACCTCTCTCCTTCTCGTATAGTAGAAGATACAATTAACTCTCGCCTCTCTCCTTCTCGCATAGTAGAAGATACAATTAACTCTCACCTCTCTCCTCCTAAAGTACTAGATACAATTAACTCTCACCTCTCTCCTTCTCGCATAGTAGAAGATACAATTAACTCTCACCTCTCTCCTCCTAAAGTACTAGATACAATTAACTCTCACCTCTCTCCTTCTCGTATAGTAGAAGATACAATTAACTCTCACCTCTCTCCTTCTCGTACAGTAGAAGATACAATTAACTCTCACCTTTCTCCTTCTCGTATAGTAGAAGATACAATTAACTCTCACCTCTCTCCTTCTCGTATAGTAGAAGATACAATTAACTCTCACCTCTCTCCTTCTCGCATAGTAGAAGATACAATTAACTCTCACCTCTCTCCTTCTCGCATAGTAGAAGATACAATTAACTCTCACCTCTCTCCTCCTAAAGTACTAGATACAATTAACTCTCACCTCTCTCCTTCTCGTATAGTAGAAGATACAATTAACCTCTCACCTCTCTCCTTCTCGTATAGTAGAAGATACAATTAACTCTCACCTCTCTCCTTCTCGCATAGTAGAAGATACAATTAACTCTCACCTCTCCTCCTCCTAAAGTACTAGATACAATTAACTCTCACCTCTCTCCTTCTCCGCATAGTAGAAGATACAATTAACTCTCACCTCTCTCCTCCTAAAGTACTAGATACAATTAACTCTCACCTCTCTCCTTCTCGCATAGTAGAAGATACAATTAACTCTCACCTCTCTCCTCCTAAAGTACTAGATACAATTAACTCTCACCTCTCTCCTTCTCGTATAGTAGAAGATACAATTAACTCTCACCTCTCTCCTTCTTGTACAGTACAAGATACAATTAACTCTCACCTCTCTCCTTCTCGTATAGTAGAAGATACAATTAACTCTCACCTCTCTCCTTCTCGCATAGTAGAAGATACAATTAACTCTCACCTCTCTCCTCCTAAAGTACTAGATACAATTAACTTTCACCTCTCTCCTTCTCGCATAGTAGAAGATACAATTAACTCTCACCTCTCTCCTTCTCGTATAGTAGAAGATACAATTAACTCTCACCTCTCTCCTTCTCGTATAGTAGAAGATACAATTAACTTTCACCTCTCTCCTTCTCGCATAGTAGAAGATACAATTAACTCTCACCTCTCTCCTTCTTGTACAGTACAAGATACAATTAACTCTCACCTCTCTCCTTCTCGTATAGTAGAAGATACAATTAACTCTCACCTCTCTCCTTCTCGTATAGTAGAAGATACAATTAACTCTCACCTCTCTCCTTCTCGTATAGTAGAAGATACAATTAACTCTCACCTCTCTCCTTCTCGTACAGTAGAAGATACAATTAACTCTCGCCTCTCTTCTTCTCGTATAGTAGAAGATACAATTAACTCTCACCTCTCTCCTTCTCGTATAGTAGAAGATACAATTAACTCTCACCTCTCTCCTTCTCGTACAGTAGAAGATACAATTAACTCTCACCTTTCTCCTTCTCGTATAGTAGAAGATACAATTAACTCTCACCTCTCTCCTTCTCGTATAGTAGAAGATACAATTAACTCTCACCTCTCTCCTTCTCGCATAGTAGAAGATACAATTAACTCTCACCTCTCTCCTTCTCGCATAGTAGAAGATACAATTAACTCTCACCTCTCTCCTCCTAAAGTACTAGATACAATTAACTCTCACCTCTCTCCTTCTCGTATAGTAGAAGATACAATTAACTCTCACCTCTCTCCTTCTCGTATAGTAGAAGATACAATTAACTCTCGCCTCTCTCCTTCTCGCATAGTAGAAGATACAATTAACTCTCACCTCTCTCCTCCTAAAGTACTAGATACAATTAACTCTCACCTCTCTCCTTCTCGCATAGTAGAAGATACAATTAACTCTCACCTCTCTCCTCCTAAAGTACTAGATACAATTAACTCTCACCTCTCTCCTTCTCGCATAGTAGAAGATACAATTAACTCTCACCTCTCTCCTCCTAAAGTACTAGATACAATTAACTCTCACCTCTCTCCTTCTCGTATAGTAGAAGATACAATTAACTCTCACCTCTCTCCTTCTCGTATAGTAGAAGATACAATTAACTCTCGCCTCTCTCCTTCTTGTATAGTAGAAGATACAATTAACTCTCACCTCTCTCCTTCTCGTATAGTAGAAGATACAATTAACTCTCGCCTCTCTCCTTCTTGCATAGTACAAGATACAATTTACTTTCGTCTCTCTCCTTCTCGCATAGTACAAGATACAATTAACTGTCACTTCTGTCTTTCTCCTAAAGTTTACAGTCGGAGGATACACATCTTTTTCCACTTCAAAAACTTCCTCTTCTGACTTCAATCTGGTCCAGATGAATTGTCCTTCATCTTCTGGCATGCATGATTGTAGTAGATTGTAGTATAATAATACTTTCAAATCAAGTTCATTGATAATTTATTTCATCATCATGATGCAGGTCCTTTGCAGAATGCCTGAAAAAAAACTGAGATATCTTGTCTGCTCTCCCTCCTCGTGCATTTTCATATCCAGGGGTCACTTATATCTGTCCCTATCGTCATGTTGGTTGGCCCCTGCCCCTCCTTCCTGGTACCATGACATCTGCTATTATTTTTTTCCTAATCTGCCGTGGCGCTTGATATGGCCAAAAAATTTCAGCTTTCGAGACATGATGCTGTTTATGAGACCTGACATGATGCTGTTTATGAGACATGACATGATTCTGTTTATGAGACATGATGCTGTTTATGAGACATGACATGATTCTGTTTATGAGACATGATGCTGTTTATGAGACATGATGCTGTTTATGAGACATGACATGATTCTGTTTATGAGACATGACATGATTCTGTTTATGAGACATGACATGATGCTGTTTATGAGACATGATGCTGTTTATGAGACATGACATGATTCTGTTTATGAGACATGATGCTGTTTATGAGACATGATGATGTTTATGAGATGTGACATGATGCTGTTTATGAGACATGATGCTGTTTATGAGACATGACATGATGCTGTTTATGAGACATGTCATGTACTGTTAATGAGACATGACATGATGCTGTTTATGAGACATGATGCTGTTTATGAGACATGACATGATTCTGTTTATGAGACATGATGCTGTTTATGAGACATGACATGATTCTGTTTATGAGACATGATGCTGTTTATGAGACATGACATGATTCTGTTTATGAGACATGACATGATGCTGTTTATGAGACATGATGCTCTTTATTAGCCAATCTTTCTTGATTTTCAGATCTGTTAGAATGTCAGTATTTCTTTTCTTCTTTGTCCACGGTATTCTGAGAATTTTTCTATAGCACTTCAGCTCAAAAGCCCTTTTTTTTTCTTCCTTAATTAATTAATTCCTTTACAGATTCCAAAGTAAACATCTTTCATCAAGCGGAATAAATACCTCAGTAATGTTGGTGGTCGTAGCTATCATATCAGTCATTCCTGTCTTCCACCTATTTTGGGCATGGTGCCAACATTCACTGTTCATTGTAAATATTAATCTTTAATCATTTAAAGTTTCAGAGAATTGTTCTTTTATTTTTAAATCATGTAATGATAATTTTAAAAAAAACTTTTTTTAAAAAGTGTGTATGTTATAATTTATGACCGCATAATATAATGATTGTAGGAATAGAACACAATAACTTTCAAAACACACAACACTTGAAGTAAAATATGGAAAACATGGAATACCTCAGTATGAAAACAAGAATTTTTCTCCATAACCACCCATGTTTGCTGGTTATATATGAGTGAAATTCTACAATGGCCTGAAAAAAGAAAAAAAAAAATATCCATAGATAACTGTCTAGAATAATTATTCTCCTTACCTGAGATAGGCAGGGTTTTTTCTTTCCCTATAAAAGTAATGGTCTGTACTCACCATAAGGAATGTTTAATTTAAAAAAAGGGTGCTTGTACTCATCAGACTTTTGGCAGAATGTCAAAAAGAGCTCACTAAACTCCAGATGATGGCAGCAGTAGACCGGGAACAAAGAATTCTGTTCACAATGTTCCGGCACCTGATCCCCCTGGAGGTAGATGATGGGCTCGGACTGCTGACCATATCTAAGAGTCAGCTGATGAAACAGAATGAAGCCATGCTGGTCATTGTGGGGTGTACAAGAGATACCTTAGTAGTATATATACAGTATATACTTGCACTACTGACTATTACATATAGGCTGAAAGTTCTGCGAGCACAGTAATTTCTCAGAGTAGCTGCAGACAAGAAGCACCTCCAGTATGAAGCACTAGATACAGCTAAGGGTTACTGACATAAAGAGAAAGGTCTTGAATAGAGCAAGCTGAAGACACAGCTAGACATATGTGGAGGCATGAGAATATTAGGAATGGAATGGGTCATAGTGTCTGAGCAACACTGAGATTGTTGTAGTGTTCTAATCACATTGAGACTGGGAGTTTTGGGACTGGCCAGTGGGCACTGCAGAATCAGAAGTTCAACAAATGATTCATGACAATTCCCACTCTGGTGATGTGGTTATACGGATGGCTGTATATTAAGAGGCAGAATAAGTGCATGGGGATTCATAGCAAAAGGGAATGGAAGTATCTGAATGCAACAATACTTAGCATATGATAAGACAACATCTAGTTTGAGAATGAAGGCCGAGGTGTTTACTGCAGCCTTCCGATGGCTTGAGAACCAGAAGCACAGATTGCATAAGCACCTTGTACCTCATCGAAGTGTGATTGTAACTGATGGGCTCTGTCAAGAGCTCACAGACTCATTTACTGCTGTTCTTAATGCCATCACTCCATAGGAATTAGAACCTCTTGTAACGTTTTAGTGTGGCTGCTGTGATAACCTGGGCATTCTTGGGTCGCAGATCACAGATGTGTGTTCCAAGTGATATGATGTCAATTTTTAACTGATTCCTTGTATCTGCTGTAGACTGATTTTGTTGTGTTGTGTCCAGGACATGGGTGATGCTGCTGACAGTATTTCTGATTGTCAGCTTTGGCACAGCTGCTAAAATCTGTCAAGTTTTCCGTCATGGCACCATAAACCTCTGTTTGTCTCAGGGTGTTGTTTTTTAATTTAATTTCTAAATTGTCTTTATGTCTTCCTATCATCATTCAATTTTCATATTATATTCCTCCCCTTTGTTACTAATTTGATAGGTGGTTCTGTGCATTCATAATTATGAGTACCTGGTCGTCGGCGAAAAGTAATGATCTGTGTATCTTTCCCTGATTAAAGTTTGTGCTAAATCATGTTTTCAGTTCACTATAGAAAAGTTTCTAGAAATTGTTTCATCTTTAATCTCTCTCTCTCTCTCTCTCTCTCTCTCTCTCTCTCTCTCTCTCTCTCTCTCTCTCTCTCTCTCTCTCTCTCTCTCTCTCTCTCTCTCTCTCTCTCTCTCTCTCTCTCTCTTTCTCTCTGTGTGTGTGTGTGTGTGTGTGCGTGCGCGCTCGCTGCGTGCGTGCGTGTGGATAGATAGATGGGTACAGAAAACAAACATAACAGTATAACAAACTAGGATTAAAGAAAATTGATTCTGTGACATCGAAGTCAGATAATTAAAGTACTTTGATTATATCAAGAAGACACAGCCTCTTGCTCTGTCCTGGAAGAAAGAGTGGGAAGCATGCAAGAGGAGGAAAACAGTACTCTTGGATATACAACTTCCATAGACAAAGAGGGCTGAATGAATGCACTATGAACACATAAGCAGATAATATGGGAAACTTATCCAGTTAGCCTTCATTATGGAAGGAGCTCTTGATGTTTATGGTGCTTGTTTTTATATGTGAGCATGCATGCGTAGGAGCACTTGATGTTTATGGTGCTTGTGTGTATGTGTGAGCATGCATCCAACAAACATATAGATTGTGTTCTGTTTGTTTTGTTTTACTGTCAACTTGTAATTGTTTTACTGTTTATACACATTTTTGTTTTACTATGTAATATTTATAGCAAATATGCCATTGATTGCAGTTCTGATGGTAATATAACTGACTTTATGCTGATGGCATGATTTTGATACTAGTGAGCTACAAGGAACTAAAGAAAATGATCACACAGTTGTAGAAAGACCACAGCTTTAATAGGAGGACAGAAGTCATGGTAATATCACAGATATATGCATCCAGTGCCTTGCTGGTTGTTTGCAGTTGCAGCAAAACAAATACATCTAGCCATGTTCAGGACATGTCTCCAGGTTCTGTCCCACAAACAGAGATACAGATACTCATTTTTTCTACCAGTAGCTTCATGAAGTACTCTGTGCTGAAGAGGAAACACCAAAAACTCCTTATCGTGTTTGTTAGTGAAACAGAAAGAAGGCATTTTGCTATTATATGTCATATAGGGCTAGCTGTCTATTCCTTCATTCTATTCTGTCCTGTGCAGTACCTTTGATATTATGGATAGAATCTAGTCCAGCACCTTTAGCTTCTTATCAACGTTCATTTAGAGTTTCCATTTAACTTTCATTCCATGTCTTTAGTAGTTCTCCAACTTTCACTGGCAAATGTTAAAATTGAAGTAACATTAGAATTTAAAACATATAACGTGGTTTTAAAACTACAGAGTTTAGAATTTCACATTTAGAAGAAAGCACCATTTATTGATTACTCTTTAAATATTGTACATTGGCTAATTTCTCCTGCCCCATGCTTCTGTTGCATTCATCCTTTCTTCTGCAGCGGCTGCTTCAGCTGATACTGTTCCATTTTTCTACAGCTTTAGTTCATTGAGACTCAAGGCTGTTGCTGTAAAGTATATAAACTCTGAAAGTGTTGAGGTAACAGCTGTCTGGTAATGAAAGAGTTAAAAGAGAAGCCATTCTATTTGTTAAATTATAATTTGTTGTAAAAGAAACTAGTGAACACATACAATATTGTTGTCTCTATCCTAGATTCTTATGAACTTGGTCGACTGATGTGGCAGATGCCTGCAGCATTCACCTCACTCAACATCCCATCTGCATATGCTTTTGTGTTTTTTCTATCTGCATTCTTATTTACACTGATGTTTCTGGTAAGGATATTTATATTTTAATGGTCACAATCTTTTTCTGGATATTATCTTGTCGTATGATTATATGATCTCTGATGTGCACTTGAAACACAGAATGATCAGCACTGTGTCACTTGATGGTCAGTTTGGAATGTAAGAGCAAATAAATGATATCACTAGGAGATGTGAAGATTGCTGTTTAGTTCTGAGATACACAATGAAACCAATTAAAAAGCACATTCTGAGAAATGAATTGATTGCAGTGAAAGTAAATTGTGCACTTTCCTGAGTATTATCTCTAAATGATTACAAGACTGAGATTTATTCATCGTCATCATATTTCATCATCGTTGTATTTAATCGTCATCGTATTTAATCGTCATCATATTTTATCATCATCATCATATTTAACCGTCATCATATTTCATCATCATCATATTTCATCATCATATTTAACCGTCATATTTCATCATCATCATATTTAATCGTCGTCATATTTAATCGTCATCATATTTAATACTCATCTCATCATTGTCCTGTTATGCCATCATTTGTCACATAGAGCTTGCAGTCTATTCCTTTATTCAGTTGTATCCTGTGTAATCCCTTTGATGGTGGAATCCAGTCCGTCACCATTGGCAATGCTACTGGCTGATGTAAAAATAATTTCTTGTCCGCTCTAGGTTTTAATCCTGCAATCTGACGCCAGCATCAGTTATTCACCCTACAACAAGGTATCCAAACAGATATCTCATTACGCAGTTCACTGAGTATTAAAAAAAAGTAAAGTCCATTCTTTAATTACGTTTCAGTCAACTGCTAGATTGAGGCTAAAGTTAACATTATTCCTTGTTAAACCCCTTAGTGGGGAATTTAGGTGTGTCTGAGTGCTTCCCTAGTGGGTAATTGTTTTCATATTTGTCGGTTACAAATTACTGTCCATAAGTAAAGACATTTCATTCAAGATTCTTATTTCAGAGCTGAAATCACATTCATTACTTTGTTGAAATCCTGTCCTGGAATTTATAAGTTTTGAGAAAATCATTATTTTTCTGGGCCACATTAGCGCAGTTGATAGAAGACTCACTTTCAAATCCAGCTGTGACTCGCTGCAGCCCACGGTCGGTGTTCGAAACCGGTCGGTTCTTGGGGTTCACCCAGCCTCTAGGTAGTGGGTACCAGAGTTAACACTCTGGGGTGAATGGAGGAACGTCACTGTAGCTACAGAGTTGCGTGCGGACAGCGACACAGGCAGACAGTTTCTTATCAGCTGTCCGTACTGGTGGCAGAGCACTTATGGTTTATAACCGTGTGCAATGACACTGGTTCATATTTCCCGACTTTACCTTTTTTTTTTAAAATAACTTTTTCATTATTTTTCTGGAGAAGAGTATCAGTTGATTCCATATGTGAAGAATATTATTTTGTTCCAGCTCATGCAGAACTTCCTGAAGATTGACAGTTCAGATGAAAGACTTTATTTCACCTGTTGTCATAACAGTTTTGTGTTGTACTGTGGCCAGGCATTTTAAAAAATCTATACCCCCACCTTTCCACATTATGCCTCTATTCTTACTAGATGATCTCTTGAAAGGAAAGAATGATAAATGCTCTCACATAATTGGTCAAATAATCTTGTATATGCTGTTTAGTGCAGAATGCATTTTTGGTTTAGCTTCATGTCAGTTGAATATATTTCCCAGGAAATTCTCTATAAGCAGCTTGAAATTAATAAAAAAAACGGATGTCTACTGCTGTGTTTGCAGGATAAATGCCAGCAGGCATTAATAGTGATGGGTGTAGATATAACATTGTGGGATAAGTGCCAGCAGGCATTAATAGTGATGGGTGTAGATATAACATTGTGGGATATGTGCCAGCAGGCATTAATAGTGATGGGTGTAAATATAACATTGTAGGATAAGTGCCAGCAGGCATTAATAGTGATGGCTGTAGATATAACATTGTAGGATGTGGAGGCATTAATAGTGATGGCTGTAGATAAAAAGAGGTGCATTGTCTTGACTGCTTCATGGCTGTCAAAGGGGTAATGTGGGACCTGCCAGAAGAAATAGCTGAGGCTTCAGATATAACAAGGCTGTGCCAGTCACGTGATTAATAGAATGGGTGTAAATGAAGGTTGTGGGATATTTTATATGCAGGTATGTATTATAGTGATCAAATGTAGATATAAAGTGGTTGGGATATGTTTTTCAGGCATTATAGTGATGGCTGTAGATATAATACTTGTGGGATATGTTCCAGCAGGCATTAATGTGATGGCTGTACACTACTATTGTGGATAATGTGCCAGCAGGCATTAATTAGTGATGGATAGATAGACATTGCATGATATGTGCCAGCAGGCATTAATAGTGATGGCTTGTAGATATAACATTGTGGTGACAGCAGGCATCCATAGTGATTGGTGTAGATATCAGACTACAAGGGATAAGTGCCCAGGGTTATTTGATGGGTGGTAGATATAAATTGGGATTATATGCCAGCATGGTCCTATTAATAGTGATTCAAATCTATTGTTGAAAGGTGGCAGGCATAATAGTGATGGGTGTAGATATAACTTGTGAGATATGTGCCTTTAAGTTTTTAATGGAGTGATGGCTGTAAATATAACAACCTGATACACTGCATTAATAGTGATGGGTCACCATATGCTATTGTGGGGATATGTGCCCTCAGGCAGATTGATAGTGATGGGTGTAGATATAACATTCATAGGTAAGTGCCAGCCAGGAAGGCCTAGTCCAGTCAGTCAGGATATAACATTGTGGGATATGTGCCAGTCTGCATCTAATCCTCTGGCTGTAGATATAACATTGTTTTTTATGTGCCAGCAGCATTAATAGTGATGGCTGTAAATACTACATTGTGGGTATTAGTGCCAGCCGGCATTAATAGTGATGGCTAGTTATAAACATTGTGGGATATGTGCCAGCAGGATTAATAGTGATTATATGGCATATCTTCATTGTGAGATTTCAGTGTTAAGCCAGCATATTTCATAGTGATGGCTGTAGATATTACTATTGTGGGATAAGTGCCAGCCCATTAATAGTGATGGGTGTCAAAGATATAGTAACATTGTAGGATTAAGTGTTTTTGGCATTAATAGTATGGGTGTAAATATAACATTGTAGGCAAGTGCCAGCAGGCATATAGTCTGGGTGTGTAGATATGACATCTGGTGGGGAAGTAGGTCACAGGCATTAATAGTGATGGCTGTAGATATAACACTTGAGGGTAGCTTTTGAGCAGGCATTAATAGTGATGGCTGTAGATATAACATTGTGGGATATGTGCCAGCAGGCATTAATTTCTCTTTGGTTTGATATATTACATTGTGGGATAAGTGCCAGCAATATTAATAGTGATGGTGGTAGATTTAACATTGTGGGTGCCAGCCGGCATTAATAGTGATGGCTGTAGATAAAATATTGCTGGATAAGTGCCAGCAAAATGTTGTCCTGATGGGTGAGTTATAACATTATAGATAAGTGCCAGCAGGCATTAATAGTGTGGGTTTTGAACATTGTAGGATAAGTACAGGCAGGCATTAATAGTGATGGCTGTAGATATAACATTGTGGGATGTGTGACAGGCTGATAGTGAAGCTGTAGATATACATTGTGGGACAAGTTTAGGCATTAATAGTGATGGCTGTAGATATGTTTATTGTGGGATATAGTGCCAGCAGGCAAAATAGTGATGGGTGTAAATATAACAGTTGTTATTTGTAGTAGCCGGCATTAATAGTGATGGCTGTAGACATAACAATGTGGATAAGTGCCAGCATGGCTTTAAATAGTGATGGTGTAAATATAACACTAGTTCATGGGATAAGTGCCAGCAGGCATTATAGTGATGGGCTGTAGATATAACATTGTAGGATAAGTGCCATTATGCATTAATAGTGAGAAGGGTAGATATCTTAAGTGATTGTAAGTTTAAGTGCCAGCAGGCATTATTTCTGGGGGTAGATATAACATTGTGGGATAAGTTTCAGTCAGGCATGGTATAGTGATGTATTAAATATAACATTGTGGGATAAGTGCCAGCAGGCATTAATAGTGATGGGTGTAGATATAACATTGTAGGATAAGTGCCAGCCGGCATTAATAGTGATGGGTGTAGATATAACATTGTGGGATAAGTGCCAGCAGGCATTAATAGTGATGGCTGTAGATATAAGATTGTGGGAGGAAGTATTAAAAAGAGGTGCATTGTCTTGACTGCTTCAACTGTCAAAGGGGTAATGGACCTGCCAGAAGAGAAGCTCAAGGCTTCAGCCCCAAGGCTGTGTCACGTGATAGTTCAGAATGACTAAATGAAGGTTGTTATTATATTTTATATGTTGGTATGTAAACTGTATCAAATACATGAAAGTGGTTTGTATTTTTCTGAACTAGTGCAGCAAAAATACTTTGTTTGATACTTCCTACAGTGTGTAGGTACACTCACTATTGTGGATAATGTCATGGATTCCTTGAAAGGCTGGATAGACAGACATGCATGCAGTAAGATTGCAGTACATTTGCTTGTGACATTTGTGGTGATGCTGCTTTCCAAAGGCATTGGTATCATTCAGACTACAAAGGTTAGCCACCTATTTCACCTATTAAAGTGCATAAATTGAGTTTATATGCAAAATGGTCCTATCATACTTCAAATCTATGTTTGAAAGGGGTCAACAGTATGAAACAGTTTAACTCCTGAGTAAACTTTAAGTTTTTCATGGAGTTGAAGTGCATCATCCTCAACCTGTAACACTGCATGTCGTTGGGTCACCATTTGCTGTTGACTGATCAGCTCCCTCAACCTTTGATGGTCAGATGTGATGGACTTCATGGTTGCATGCCTAGGGCCTGTCCAGTCAGTCAGGTTCTATATCCAGCTCTTTCTTGGTCTGCCTCTTCTCCTCTACTGAGCTCTGTAGTTTTTTTTTTTTTAGAGGCCATTAGTTCTTATTACCTGTCTGTACCATTACATTTTCCATCCTTTCACTAGTTAAAAGAGGTTCATTGTTGCCATTAGGATGGATAATTATATGGCATATCTTCTTTTTGAGTTCAGCTGTTAAGGTCCATATTTCACAGCCATCTGTAAATTTAGCAGTCAAAGATTAGTTTTTAAATGAATTGTTTTTGGATCTCCATAATATTTGCTGCTTGGCAAGGGCTGATGGTGTCTGGGTTATTCTAGACATGATTTCTGGTCTGGATTCTAGGTCACTTAACTCTTTACAGACTAGTCGTCACTTAAGTAGCTTTTGAATCCATCCTGTTCAGACTATTTGCTATTAAAGTAGATTTATTCTGCACTAATTTCTCTTTTATTTGATATATATGTTTCTATACAGCCAATACGTTTTCTTCTGGAAGGTTTAAGCTTTGTCGTGTTAAAGTAAAAAAAAAAATTTGACTCAAAATTAATGCTGTCCAAATCACAGAAAAATGTTGTCCTGAAAGAGTTAAAAGGGATCCTAAATTTTGTTAATGTGTCCATTTCAAACAAAAATATGACAAATTACAGGCCATCCATTTGTTTGACTAACAGCAGGACAAATTCTGTTGACAAACTGACAAAGAAGCTGGAATTCTAGTCACACCTTTACACTAAATAAAATATATTCGCCAGCAATGTTTATAATTTGGTAGGTGATAGATGGAAACCTGTTTTGCTTCTACAGAGACAGTTGTTATTTGTATTTAGCTATACAGTATGTACTTCCTGTGGGAAATCAGTTGTTTCTTTATGGCTTTAAATTGTTTGCTTAACAAAACAATAGTTCATTTGTGTGATTTTATGTTAGGCTGTGGGGAGTGTTGAATTATTATGATTTAGTGAGAAGGGCCATATCTTCAGTGAGTGAAGTTTGGCTGCAATGCACTCTTTTCTGGTCTTGTTTTTACACTTTCCCATGTTTCTGTCAATTGGTCCTTTGGTATTATTTTCCCACTTATATCACTATCTACCTCCTGCTTGCCTGCTTTAATCTGCTTTGCCTTCAGCACTTGAAGTTCACAGTAATACTGTAAAATCAGTTTGTGTTCTGACACTTTTCCATGCCGTAACTGTTACAAACATTAAAACACATGCTCAGGCATATTTGTGTTTGGCTTTTTTTTTTTTAAACTGAACATCAGTTTGCAGTAATACTTCTTATGCTTGTCTCTTTTATCTTGTCATCTTCTTCAGGTGTGTGGTGATCTGTTTTTGTCCAGAAATGCTAAATTGACCACATACTGTGACTAGAAAGCTCAGCGGAAGCAATGAGTTAAGATATGCACACACATATAACCAAATATTTCAGTCAGTCTTTATCGGTGGAATACTAAGTAGAACACAGACTGTGACTAAAAAATTCAGCAGACAAGACAACACAGCTTATAAAACAGCCACTTTCCACATGGAACTGCTAATAGGAGAACAAATGGGCATGAAGGGCTATAAACAAATCAGAAAGCATTTTGAATGATAAGGGAGAAATATAAACAAGGGAAGTAAATAAATATCATATAAAGGTGTGCTGAATATTCATCCCTACTGTTCACTGTGTTTGAATGTAGTTTTTATAGTGTATTTCACTATCTCTTGCCTAAGTATATGTTTGAATTAACTTTGAAATACATCTGTGTATGTCAAAGACCCTTTAGATTTCTATGTGAATTGTTATAAATGGCTGTGCAGTTGATGCTATTTGACTGTTTGATTTGTTTTCAGTTTCTAGCATTTTATTTAAATTCTTCATTCTGCTTTTCATGTACATTTGTAGCCATCATAGCATGGGTCATAACTGCTGTTCAGAAGTAAAAATATAAATATAATATCACGTCTCATTGCTGACTCATCATCATCATCATGTGCCTTGCCGACTGGCGTGGGCGATCTTGCCTCTCCATAATCTGCGATCTCCTGCAGCATGTATCAGTTTGTGTGCCGACACACCTCCATGCCATGCAACAAGACTGTCAAGCATCTTCTCTCGTTGTCTTCCTCTATCTCTCCTTCCACATATCTTTCCAGTGGTCACAACATGTTCTATTTTCCCTCTTCTCATAACATGGCCGAAAAATGATGACTGTCTCCTTCTGATGTCTGTGATAAGTTGTTAATTATATTACTATATCCCATTAATAAGTCACCATCTTTTGATTTCAAACATCCAGTGATGTTATGTGTCATCTTTCCTGTTAACATATTTATCTTTTGGTACATGGAATGTGAGTCTTTCCTGTTGTTTTCCCCAATCTCTGTACATATTTGATTCAGCCAGGCTTCTTTAGCCACTTTGCATTTGTTCACTATTTCTTTTTGTATTCTAGAGTATTCTTCTTTATCATTTCTTTCATCCATCAACTGCAGAATTTCGGTTGACATCCATTTCTTTTTTGCAACTCTATGGGTTGGTGGGATTGTCTCTTTAGATGTCTGCTGAATTGGCTCACGCAACATATCCCACTGTTCATCAATAGTCTGTATAATTTCCATTGCATTATACCAGTTTTGTACAGTGACATTGTACTGGTCCTTAATTTCTTTATCCGTTCTAAGAATTCCTAAATTTAACTTGATGTTCTGTGGTGTTTTTCTAATGTTCTTTAGTTTTATTCTAATTTTTTCTACAACTGGAACATGGTCACAAAAGCAGTCTGCCCCTGGTCTAGTTTTTGCTCCAGCTAACCTGCTCCTGAATCTTCTTGAAATCAAAATATAATGAATCTGATTGCGGACATTATCACCAGGACTTTTCTAAGTCCACAATCTTCGAGGATGGTGTTTGAACCAGGTGTTACCTATTATCATGTTGCGTGACTCAGCCCATGCTATTAATCTGTCACCTCTCACATTCTTTTCTCCTAGGCCATAGCCACCCGTTATTCCGTACACTTTTTCACTTCCTATTTTCGCGTTGAAATCTCCAAGTACCATTGTTACATCACAGTTTTTGCATTGATCAACATGTCTAACTCATCATAAAATGCGTCAATATCTTCCTCTGAACTATCTGCTGTTGAGGCATAAATCTGTACTAAGTTGATGTCAAACGGTCTGCCGCAAAGTTTTACTAATAGTACTCTATCTGATATTGTCCAAAATCCTTTCACAGTTTTTGAGTTTTCTTTTGATCCAAAATAATACCAACTCCCTTACTATATTCCTTCCCACCCGAGTAAATAATTCTGTACTGATCTGAATACTTTTCACCTGCTCCTGGCTATCGCATTTCACTAATTCCTAATATGTTGACGTTCATTCTTTTCATTTCCATCTTGATGTTATCCAACTTTCCGTTTTGTACGAGTGTTCTGACATTCCATGTACCAATGTTCATGATGTTTCTACCATTTACTTTTTCTACAGTAGCTGGATGACGGTCGGGTATCACCTGTAGAACATGATGCTCCACTGGAATCCCCATTCACGTCGTTATCTGAATATGTATTATTTTGAGGCATGATTTTCTTGGTGGTTTCCCCTTGCCTTCCGCCGGTTGAAAATGGTTTGACTCCAATAGCCTTTGTCTAAAGAGACTTACCCTGCAAGGCAGCAGGGGGAAGAGGTTGTGGTGCCTCTTACCCGCCGATGGCCATGTCATAGAGTTTTTAGGTATTTTATAGAGTTAGCTGTCCCACCAACTAACTCGCCTCCTCTCAATGACCATCACCTGTTTTGGTCCACTGCCACTTATTCAATATATTCGTGGCTAACATCTATATCTTGAGGCCTTTCCACCATCCGCCACCTGGTGGGCGCGCCTAGTAGTAGGACAGGCTCCTACCCCAGGCATTGCTGACTACTGTATATTTATCATTTGAATTATTTAGTAAAAATTTTCATTGTCTGAATTTTTCAGCTTAAATTCACAATACTGACTGCAGACTTGAAATCTGAAATATTTTGTTGTTGTCTGATTGTGTTTTTCCATAGGCAGGCCATTACTACTATTTACTGTTCACCCAGTCCATGGATAAGTTGAGGTTCTTGTTAATAATCTTATTGGCACTGGGACTTGTGGTTGTGTATGGTAAGTGTTTTTAATCTGACACTGTGAGATAAACTGGAGCTGTAGGTAAATAATAAACTAATGGTTTGCTCACCTGATGTTACAATATATGCTTGGCAACTGTCAACTTAATTAATGCCTTATTCGGTTTTCTAGCATTTATTCCAAGTGTGGCATAGATGAGATTATGTGACGGTAGTTGCAGTACCTACTTGGGCATAGATGAGATTATGTGACAGTAGTTGCAGTACCTACTTGGGCATAGATGAGATTATGTGACAGTAGTTGCAGTACCTACTTGGGCATAGATGAGATTATGTGATGGTAGTTGCAGTACCTACTTGGGCATAGATGAGATTATGTGACAGTAGTTGCAGTACCTACTTGGGCATAGATGAGATTATGTGACAGTAGTTGCAGTACCTACTTGGGCATAGATGAGATTATGTAACGGTAGTTGCAGTACCTACTTGGGCATAGATGAGATTATGTGACAGTAGTTCCAGTACCTACTTGGGCATAGATGAGATTATGTGACAGTAGTTCCAGTACCTACTTGGGCATAGATTTTCCTTTTCTTGTCATTTTTTAATAGGACCCTTACCCACTAGGACTGTAGTGACGCCTGGCTGGTGTAGCTGTTATGAGTAGCCTGGCTGGTGTAGCTGTAATAAGTAGCCTGGCTGGTGTAGCTGTTATGAGTAGCCTGGCTGGTGTAGCTGTAATGAGTAGCCTGGCTGGTGTAGCTGTAATGAGTAGCCTGGCTGGTGTAGCTGTTATGAGTAGCCTGGCTGGTGTAGCTGTAATGAGTAGCCTGGCTGGTGTAGCTGTTATGAGTAGCCTGGCTGGTGTAGCTGTTATGAGTAGCCTGGCTGGTGTAGCTGTAATGAGTAGCCTGGCTGGTGTAGCTGTAATGAGTAGCCTGGCTGGTGTAGCTGTAATGAGTAGCCTGGCTGGTGTAGCTGTAATGAGTAGCCTGGCTGGTGTAGCTCTAATGAGTAGCCTGGCTGGTGTAGCTGTAATGAGTAGCCTGGCTGGTGTAGCTGTTATTAGTAGCCTGGCTGGTGTAGCTGTAATGAGTAGCCTGGCTGGTGTAGCTGTAATGAGTAGCCTGGCTGGTGTAGCTGTAATGAGTAGCCTGGCTGGTGTAGCTGTAATGAGTAGCCTGGCTGGTGTAGCTGTAATGAGTAGCCTGGCTGGTGTAGCTGTAATGAGTAGCCTGGCTGGTGTAGCTGTTATGAGTAGCCTGGCTGGTGTAGCTGTAATGAGTAGCCTGGCTGGTGTAGCTGTTATGAGTAGCCTGGCTGGTGTAGCTGTTATGAATAGCCTGGCTGGTGTAGCTGTAATGAGTAGCCTGGCTGGTGTAGCTGTAATGAGTAGCCTGGCTGGTGTAGCTGTAATGAGTAGCCTGGCTGGTGTAGCTGTAATGAGTAGCCTGGCTGGTGTAGCTGTTATGAGTATCTTGTTTTTAACTTCTTTGACAAGACACTGACACTGTTTATAAAAATCTGCTAATATAGTGAAGATAACATGACACTTTATAGAATTCTTCTAAGATAGTGAGGGTGACAAGATACTGTTTATAGAATTCTACTAAGATACTTGTCAGAACCCTGTTTGTACAGTCATGTGACAGTGCATACCATAGAGATGGTGTACTGTGTATATGAGCATGACGGAGAGTTGACGGACAGGTCACCCCGGTGAAATCATGACTGTCCAGTATGTGCTAAAATAGCTTGATACAGTTGTGATGGCGATTAAGTGTAGAAAAAAAAAACTGAGCGTTTTTCTAGCGGGACCACAATTGCTGCATGGTCACGACTGAGCGAACAGACTGCGACAAAAGCCATGAAGTGTTGGACAAAGGGCATTCGTTTTTTTGGACAGCAAACGGGAGACATGAGGTAGTTTGAGACAGTTAGAACTTAGCGTGTTATAGGAATATTCTTATGACCGAATAGATTGTGATAATATGTTTTGTTAGGTAGCATAGCTTCTTTGTGGTGTGTAACGTCTGACAGTGACAGGTGTTTTTTGTTGTACTGTGTTCAGTGAGTAGGGCTAAAGTATTTAGATAATTATAGTTGATTTTGGAATGGTTGTTGTGATGTTGTCAATCCTGGCATACTGACCCTAAACTTTGCAGGCACTACGCGATCCTGGTGGGGTCCAGGTGCATTAGTATAAGAGCTTTGTGGGTGTGAACCTGAGGATTATCCAAACGGATAGGAGGCGTGCTTGGCAAGTAGTAAAGTCAGCACGACCCGGCGTCTTGGATAAGGGTGCCTACATCTTTCGACGTCAACTGTCTTATGTTGTTCTTTGATTATTCACTAAAGATTGTTGTTTGTGCTCCGGGAAGTGTTCGATTTAGTGTATTTAGAAAAGATTGTCACAGGCCCACAGCACGAGCCACACACTAGCAAGGTCGGTGACAACACTGTTTGAAGATGTCTGCTGAGCTAGTGATAGTGATTAGAACAGGAAATATCCTCATAAGCTATTTTAATAAGCATTTTACTTTTGAGATGTTTGTATTGGTTAGTTTATATTTTATAGATATGTTTCTTTGTTCTTTGTTTATTTTGCTAAAGTGTACAAGCAGACAAGTACATTCACTATATTAACTTCCAAGCCATAATTATAGAATGATTTGAAGAAGAGGAAGATGAATATAATCTGACATGTTGTATAGTAATATGATCCAGTCAAGTGCCGTCATTGATGTGTGTTTAATCTACAGTGGAACCTTCTCGCTTAACCAGCATCATTCATTTCAGAATCATGCTTGTAAAGCGAAACGCTCGTTATGCGAAACAATTTTTCTCATATAAATTAATGTAAAATATGAAAATGCGTTCCATGACGAAAAAATACTCAACAAAATGTTACGTATCACGTTTATTCAAAGAAAATTATATACATATTGTTAAGGAGAGGGAATCATCGTCATCTTTTTTTCCATCAAGGAATGAACTCACCTGGAATGCAAATTCGATTTGCAGAAGAAGAAAAAAGTCAAAATAATTATGACACATAGCTAATTTTTTTTTTTTACTAGAAAGATGTCCAGAGACATTTGTTTTTGCTGACGCTTAAAAATTTTGCTAAAATGCGACGCAGCATTATCATTAAATAAATTTGCACTTCCTTGTTAGGGTGATGCTTCTCAATGTAAGATGCAATAGTTTCCCATGCTTTTAGCATTTCTCTTATTTTACCAGAAGATTGTTACTTTTCAGTTACCTCCTCCTCCTCTCCTGACAAACTTTCCTCCAAAACCTTTTTGCACAGTGCAACTCCATAAGCTCTTGGGTGATCAGCTTTTGGCTGTGCGCTTCCACAAGCTCTTCGATATCACTGTTATCCACCTACAATCCCATGATAGTGGCCAAAAACACAATCTCATTGACTACAGGTTTCACAGGTACTGTCTTGAACTCTTCAAATTCACATTTGTCATCGCTCTCCGGTCAAAGCTTCTTCCAAGCAGAAGTTAGGGTTCTCTTGGTAACCCCTTCCCCCACCTTGTCGATCATCTTGAGGCAGGCAACGATGTGGAAGTGATTTTTCCAAAACTCTTTTAGTGTGAAGTTGGTCCCTTCAGTCACCTAAAAACAATGCTTGAAGAGTGCTCAAGTGTAGAGCTTCTTAAAGTTAGAAATAACTTGCTGGTCCATGGGCTGGAGTAACGGAGTGGTGTTGGGAGGCAGAAACTGGATCTTGATGAACTAAATTCTTCAGGGAGGTCATCTTGTAGGTCTGGAGGATTCATGTACACATATCACACTATGATGCTACTGAAATGACTGCTAAACACAGACTGATGTAACATCTGCACAGTCCAGGACTTTCCCTCTCCTCGCCGCTCGTTATGCAAAATGTTGCTCGTTAAGTAAGTCATTCTTTTACAATTTGTTTTGCTCGTTATGCAAATTACTCGTTATAAGAAGTGCCCGTTAAGTGAGGTTCTACTTACTTGCAGTTGCAGTCAGTCAGGTAAGGTCAGTCAGGTGTGTTTAAACTGCTTGCACGTGCTGTCTGTCAGATACCATCAGTCATGTGTGTTTGAGCTGCTTTTAGGTGCTGTGTATTATCAGTCAGGTGTGTTTAAACTGCTTGCACATGCTGTCAGGTACTATCAGTCATGTGTGTTTAAACTGCTTGCACATGCTGTCAGGTACTATCAGTCAGGTGTGTTTAATCTGATTGCAGGTGCTGTCAGTCGGATACCATCGGTCAGGTGTGTTAAAACTGTTTGCAGGTGCTGTTAGTCAGATACTGTTAGTCAGGTGTGTTTAATCTGCTTGCAGATGCTGTCAGTCAGATACCATCAGTCAGGTGTGTTTAATCTGCTTGCAGGTGCTGTCAGTCAGATAACATCAGTCAGGTGTGTTTAAACTGCTTGCAGGTGCTGTCAGTCAGATACCATCAGTCAGGTGTGTTTAATCTGCTTGCAGATGCTGTCAGTCAGATACTGTCAGTCAGGTGTGTTTAATCTGCTTGCAGGTGCTGTCAGTCAGATACCATCAGTCAGGTGTGTTTAATCTGCTTGCAGGTGCTGTTAGTCAGATACCGTCAGTCAGGTGTGTTTAATCTGCTTGCAGGTGCTGTTAGTCAGGTGTGTTTAATTTGCTTGCAGGTGCTGTTAGTCAGATATTGTCAATCAGGTGTGTTTAATCTGCTTGCAGGTGCTGTTAGTCAGATACTGTCAATCAGGTGTGTTTAATCTGCTTCCAGGTGCTGTTAGTCAGATACTGTCAGTCAGGTGTGTTTAATCTGCTTGCAGGTGCTGTTAGTCAGATACTGTCAATCAGGTGTGTTTAATCTGCTTCCAGGTGCTGTTAGTCAGATACTGTCAATCAGGTGTGTTTAATCTGCTTACAGGTGCTGTTAGTCAGATACTGTCAATCAGCTGTGTTTAATCTGCTTGCAGGTGCTACAAGTCAGATACTGTTAGTCAGGTGTGTTTAATCTGCTTGCAGGTGCTGTTAGTCAGATACTGTTAGTTGGATGTTTTTAATCCGCTTGCAGGTGCTGTTAGTCAGATACTGTCAATCAGGTGTGTTTAATCCACTTGCAGGTGCTGTTAGTCAGATACTGTCAGTCAGCTGTGTTTAAACTGATTGCAGGTGCTGTTAGTCAGATACTGTCAGTCAGCTGTGTTTAAACTGATTGCAGCTGCTGTTAGTCAGATACTGTTAGTCAGCTGTGTTTAAACTGATTGCAGGTGCTGTTAGTCAGATACTGTCAGTCAGCTGTGTTTAAACTGATTGCAGGTGCTGTTAGTCAGATACTGTCAGTCAGCTGTGTTTAAACTGATTGCAGGTGCTGTTAGATACTGTCAGTCAGGTGTGTTTAAACTGATTGCAGATGCTGTTAGTCAGATACTGTCAGTCAGATGTGTTTAAACTGATTGCAGGTGCTGTCAGTCAGATACTGTCAGTCAGGTGTGTTTAAACTGATTGCATATGCTGTTAGTCAGATACTGTCAGTCAGCTGTGTTGAAACTGATTGCAGATGCTGTTAGTCAGATACTGTCAATCGGCTGTGTTTAACCTGCAGGTGCTGTCTGTCAAGTGTAATTGGTGTTTTGATTTCCATGGCATACAGTTTTACTTGATATGAAAACTTTAGATGTTTCTATTTTAATTTCAGTGAAACAAAACTTTGGCTTAATAGAGCGCATACTCATGGGCTTTTGGTTTACTATGTCAGCTGTAGTTTGTTCAGTAAGTAGACTTTTGTTATTGTTGTTAGTGTAAATTCTTCATTCATTTATTATTGTTAGCTAATATCATTCTTACCAGCGTGAAGATTTCTAGATTATCTCATTAATTATAATTAATTTCTTTTTTACTGTTCAATTTTCATTCTTACCAATGTGAAATGTGCTAGATTATCTTATTCAGATTTATTTCATTGCTACTAATTACTGTCATCCTTAATAAAATGAAATAGTATAGATTCTTATATTCAGTATGAATATAAGATAAATAAAATAAGTTGACTCAGCATCTTCTTGGGCCTACTGCTTACAGAAATATAGTCACTGTTCCATTATATTTTAGAAGAAGAAAGTGACCTTTTTACTCAGTGTGATGTATTTCAGGGGTTTTATTACAAATTATGTAAAATTATGTTTCTTTTTGAGTGCACAAGTGAAAAACAGACCCGATGATGTCACTGGGTGTTGTTTGTTTTATTATGGGTGACATGTCTTAGTTCTGCTACAGACCTATATTTATGAATCTTCTTATATATGTATGTATGTGGCATAGTTCCTTCATGGTAATCTCCAACTGATATTCTTGCACAGGGACTGTGGCTGTATAATCTCTACAAGCAGATAGAGATGAACTCTACAAATGTGAAATATGATGCACTGAGTTCACCAGCTAGTGGAGATTTCCCACCAGACTGGGTTTGGGTCAGTTGGGCACTTGCTGGATTTCCATTCATTGGTATCATACTTGGAGCCATCCATGCCTGTTTCTCTGCTTGTAAAGATCCTTCACATGTAAGAAACAGTAGTTTTTGTTTTGTTTTTTGTTTTTTGTTACACTTTATTGACACTTTTACTCAGCACAGTATCATTACCCTCAGATGTTTTTGTTACATCTTACTTGGCACTGTATCATTACCCTTAAATGTTTTTTGCACTCTCACTCAGCACAATATCATTACCTTCAAATGTTTTTGTTACACTCTCGCTTGGCATGATATCATTACATTACTCTCATTTGTTTGTTACGCTATCAGCATCGTATCATTACCTTCAGATGCTTTTTTACACTATCACTCAGCAAAGTATCATTACCCACAAATTCTTTTTTACACTATCACTCAACACGGTATTATTACCCTCAAATGTTTGTTTTTTCACTCTCACTCATCACGATATTATTACCTCCAGATGTATTTGTTACACTCACTCTGCACCAAATCATTACTGTCAGATGTTTTTGTTACAGTCTCACTAAGCACTGTATTGTTACCCTCAAAATTATTGTGACAGTCTCATTCGGCACAGTTTCATGACACTCAATATTTGTTTTGGTTCAACTCTCACTGGGCACAGTGTGTTTGTTACTCTCAGCACTCACACTGTCACTCAGCAATTTTATCTTTACCCACGTTTGATTTTGTTACACTCACTCAGCACAGTATCATTACACTCACTTTTGTTAACTTTTACCCAGAAAAGAATATTTACCCTTAAGAATTGTTTTTCTCACCATTTCACTCTACATAGTTTTATGAGCATCAGTTATGTTTCTTGCACTGTCATTGGGCACAGTATCGCTACCTTTAACAGATGTTTTTGTTACACTTTAGAGGAATTAGTGGCAGCTGGCATCATCAGGGAACCACTGTTTAAGGGGAGTTAAGCTCCGATTTCTACCTTAACAGCAGGACTGCATTATCACATCAATTAGTTCAGCAAATTGTGCAAGGAAGGTAACTTGAAGAAAAAAAAATCACTTTAAGAAAAAGACATCAACAAAATATAGACTGGGAGCATAACCAGAGAAGAAACAATAAATATCCATCTCTCTCAGCACCCCCTCAAACAGTGAAGAACTTCAGGTGCATAAAGAGCATATTGTCAACTAATTAATCATAAGATGGATTAAAAACTGGTGTATGAAAGCAGATCAACTTATTGGACAGTTGGCATCGGTACTGAGAAATGTCTATTAGTAGGGACTGAATTTTACAAATATTTAAAAAAAAGAGTCTGTTAGTCTGTTTACTATCTGTGAACTACCAGTGCCAGACTTGGACAGTGACTGAAAAATATTACAACTTCTAGAAAAGAACACTAGGCATAATGAGCAGATCCGAAATGATGAAATCTGAGAGACTTCATTAGATGTGCTAGATTTCATTAGCATTCAAGGGTAATAGGTCAGCCATTTAACTTGACTGCAACAGACAGTGAACTACAAAGATCAGTAATGTATAGGCCAAGTAGAAATTGATAGACTGCCCATCTAAATGGTGAACATATAGAATAAAAGAGTACCTGGGAAGCCCTATATACAAACACACAAATGAGCACTCTGCTGGTGTTTACACTTTCCTTGACACCACTAGATGCATGAGGATCAAGATGAGATGATGATGTCAGACTTTCATTCTGTTTAGTATCATTGTCCTCAATAATCTCAGGCTTCAGCCCAGACTGCAAGCAAATAGCAGTATTGGTATCAGCAAAGAAAAGAAGTCCTCAAGATTGCAAAATTATGGAAGATTTAGTTATAAACAACAGAGTGAGTTAAAATATATGGGCACACTGAAAACAACACATAGAAGGTGTGTGCATTTTCTGCACACTGAAAAAGACACACAGCCCTCTGTTTGTACTTGTACCAACTTCTGGCAGACAACCAAATCTGGTCGCTGTCTATACAGAAGCTTTGGCTTTTATTTATTTGTATTATTATTTTATTTGTATTATTTTAAGAATTCATTTAGGAGTAAAGCTGTCATTTGCTGATATAGGTCTGTTGTTTGATACTTGAGAAGCTTGTAGTATTTTATGGCTGGGGTTGGAGGGGGAACTGAAGGGGGATTGTGGTGCTTTTGTCTTGACTACAAGTAGTCTGACTATAGTCATAAAGCAGTAACCTGGTGGGAGACACAGTGGGAGACACAGACCATCCCTCTTATGTGACTCTCTGAATGCACAAGAAGAAGGTTATGGTCTCAGCCTGAAGACACTGGTTGGAGTCTTTGAGCATTTGTGAACTTAATGGTTGGATGTACATTGATAATGATCTGTTAACTATTCCAAGATGTATTTAAGAGGTGCCATATATAGAACATGAGGCCTGCTTGTGGCCAGAAAAAATGTAATTACCTACTTAAAGGTCTAAAACCATAATCTTCTTCAAAGTGGTTTCCTTTATGGCTGCACACTCTTCGGTTCAGCTGTTGTTAGAAGTATTTCAAGAATCCTTTGAGCATTTGAAATTCAGTGTTCCTTTCTTACCTCACACACTCCTGTCACATAAACAGCATTTTAAAATAATTTCTGAGTGCTTGCACAGAAGATCAAGACAAATGTGAATATATCACAGAATGGACACTGCAACTACTTAGTACTTGTCTGCCAAGAAACAAAACCTAAGATAAATATGAACACCCCAAAAACTATCTGAGTAAACATATAAATATGAACTGAACATAGTAATTGAAAAATAGAGACAACTATGTCTTAACCTGAATGTAATGTTGTAAGTTGTGTATTACTTATGCTCCAGTGTAGTTGATAGCGCATTGTCAGATGACAATTCCCATGCGTGTCTGGTCTTGTGTTCGAGTTCGGGGATGGCAGAAAAGCCGCATACTCCCCAAATTAACAGTTTGCGTGATGCCAAGGCTGAAGGGCTTCGATGCTCATGACACTGAGCCAAATGAGCTATCTTCAAGAGCTTCTGGTTCCAACATAAAAAAAGAGTTATTATTTGTCAAGTCAATAAGTGTTTGTCACGAGCTCCTATCAAGACAGAAAATAGCCAGGCATGATTTCTGAAACTTGTTCCTTTGTTTGCTTAGCTTGTTTTCATGTACTTTTTTTTTCTCAACCCCCAGAAATGTCGAAAGCTGTGCTGTGGAGTAACAGAACGTGTAAGAGAACAAAATGGAGAAGAATTTTTGCCACCCACACTTTTGATGTCAGAGCCAAGTGCACCACCCTACATGTACAGTTACATGGATCGACCACTCAGCGATAGCGGTAGAAGAGATGATTATCATTTAGACCATTATAAACTGGACTATGACCCACCTGAAACTGAGCCCTTGACACGGCATGACAGATCTACTCGTATCTGATGAGCCATTTCCGCAGCAAATCTCAGTGACAGATATTATATCTATTTCTATGTCCTGCAGCTTTAATTACTTCTGATGGAATCTCATCAAAGGCTGTTCACATTGTTGCCATAAATTGGCTTTCACTAAAGATAGTTATCACTAGTGTTTTGTTTTAACAATTGTGAGTTATCTTCATAATGTTTATCACATGATAACACAACTTTTGGGGGAGGTTGACCACCTGATTTGCACAAAAACGTTCAGATCTCATTTCCTGATGGTCCTGGGTTTTTTTTTCCTGGTGGTGGGATGTTGTCCTGACTACACAACTCGAGTCAGTCCAGTCTCATAACATGGATTCCAGAAAATATTGTAGCAGATATAGCAATACTGACCATGTCAGTCATGTGGTGCTATATGGTTGACAACTGATGGGACTGCTACTTTATTCTCATTATGCCACAGTGGCTTGCAATGAGTTCCCCCCTCCCCCACCACCATCTGTTAACAAAACTCTAGAGACATACATGGAAACTATTGGTAAATCTAAAATATACTTTAGAATGCTTGCCAGTTGAAAACTCTATAAACTTTTGTTTTTGTTTGACCCTAAACTCTTCCCTGCCTTTTCTGTAAGTTTACTTTAGGGTTTGGATGGAAATATTTAGTTTCAGAACCATTATCAGTACTTCACTCACTTTGTGTTAATATTAACTATTGGTCTTAAGTCCAGGTTTTTATGCATGCTTTTATATTTCTATTCATCTCTGTCAAAGCCACCTTAAGTGTTCAGCTCATTTTTGCTAGCGTTATTACTAGCTCAGCTTGGTGCCGTCAAGGAGCTGAGTATTGTCCAGGACACTAGACCAGCATCATGCATGCACAAGTGGCTTTAGACTTCTCTCTTGACATAAAGGTCAGCCATATTATAGTTGCTGGTATATGTCTACGGTGCATTTATAAATATATTCAAGACAGTGGTTTTCTGTTGTAAATTGAAATAAAATGGATACAGTCAATACATTGCACAGATTACTGGCTGGCACACTTATCTCATCGGTCTGAAACAGTCTACTAACCAAATCAAGATTGATGACAGTTTAATGTTCCAGTCTCAGTTCCAACCAGACATAGTTTGTGAAACTTGAAAGCTAGGAGGAAAAACAAACTCCAGTCACTTTAGACTAGTAAACATCTCATCAGTCATGTGACATCAGACCAGAGCACTTCTGATACCAGTTGTATGAATAATTCACACTCCTCAACATCAGATGATAAAATGGTTTGCTGAAGTGCTAAGACCAGTAAAGCAGTCATTTGATGATAAGGTTTTTAAAGATAGCTTTGAGCTGACTTGGCTTGGCCTAGGATTTCTATCTTTACTTGCTAATCAGACTCTATGAGCGAGAAGGAAATACGCCTGCCATTGATTTGTGCAGTGTACGGTTTTTTTCTGCATTATTTAGACAAATATATCTTAAACATTAACATGCTGCAGTCAAGCCACCTTTGTTTCTTTGAAACGGGATGTACATTGTATGCACCTCTTTTAGCTGCTAGCAGATAGTTCATGCTTGAACTTGTCATAGCTTGTGAAAGTATATTTTGCTGTGAACCTACAGACTTATCAGTTAAATGTGACCTGTCCATGTTTATATTACTTATTGGTCACAGTGACCTAATTCTCAAAGTGCCTGATTCCAGATCCAGTTGTGGATGTTTTCTCTGAAGTAAAACAAATAAGGATGAAAATATAGAAAGCTCCTGTGTACATACTCTAGGTGTGAACAATCACCCAGCAGCTAGAAGTCACCCATATGCTATGTATATAAAATTATGATGGGATTCTCAATATGGTGTCGTTCTTGAGGATTCTTTTATTTTTTTATTGTCGTTTCACTGAGACAAGTTGTAATCCAATGTCAAAATATTTTTTTTTATTTGTCTTGTGCTTCTCGGGTGGCTTGTGTGATGGATTTGTTCATCTTTTTGCAGATTTCTGCTACACCATTTATAAACATTTTCTACTGTAAAAAGTCTCAAATGCAGTTTGGTGTGGCTGCATTCTCACTTGATGGTTGAACCATTTATTCTGTGTCTTTCAGTATAATCCAGACATGGTCTTATTCCGACTTTGTTTCTAATGCTGGTATTCATAACCCTGTCTCTTCTTGTGTTGTTAGTGACCTTGCGGAGACAGCGCATTTCACATGTAGTTATTTTCTGTTCTAGTGCCCTATTTATTGTCCATGTTCTGATAACATAAAGTAGGGATGAATATGCTATTAATCATTTGCTGTTTTGCTGGAAGGAGACATTTGGGTGTCTAAACAGTGGGATTAACTGTTAGGTGACAGCAGTTGCCATTATTACTCTGGCTTCTATCTCTTTATTGAGTCTGCCATCTTGATTTCTCCATACCCTGGGTTAAATGGGTTGTCTGTATTACAAACACAAACAAAGAAAAAGGGAATGGAAATTTCTGTTAGAAATAATAATAATGCAGGCATCAGATTTTGAGAATTCAATCAGAAGGTTATTTTCTTTCTTTTGAGTTCAATATAACAGACTTATCTGAATATGATAGGGACCAAAGGTGATTCTGATTCATAGACAATAATATAAATGAATTTGTTGTATTCCATATCTGTATGCAGAGACAAAGAATCTTTTATCAAGTTTTCTCAACGTTTTTGATGGAAGTAGAATCACAAATGAATTTTTACATCTCTTAATTCAATAAATTAGTCCGGAAAGCATGCTACATAATGGACAGATTTTCACGTTTGAAAGATTTGGTGGTAAAACATAATCCAGTCTGTTGACTTCAAGACTATAAATATTTATGTTGTTTATGCACAAGTTTCATGACAGGTTTATGAGTTTTGCATGTAAATTGAGTACAGGGTTTCTCCGTTTCTTTTGTCCAGTTAAGCATTTGATAAGAAAAGGAAAGCCTGAAATGTCTCTGGAAATTTCCACTAAGAGTGCAGATCACAAAAGTGTAATATATTATTGTATACTACATTTCATGTGCTTTAATGTTCTTGACTGAATGATCTGTATACTGGATGCCTTTTTAAGGCACCTTCACTTCTCTAAGATAATAGTTCACCATGAGGATAGAGATTAAACCATTATCACTTGGCTTGTATCTACAGATGGAAACTATTTGACTTTCAAGACAGTAAATAATAGGCCCAGAATTTACCATAGCTCATGGAATTACAAGCCATGCCACTGAAAATACAAATTCAGCAGAAGGCGACTGGCCCATTTAATTGCTCTAGGTACCTCGGTTCACGAACAAATCAGCCCACATACACAATTTCCTTACAAATCCTGACTCGACCTGCAAACAATGCTAGGGTGCACGAATGGGCAAACATGGCTTGGGCACCATGTTTTCGGCTCACAAACGAAATCGATAGTACTCAGTACACATTACCATTGCCTTGTCCATGATACAAGTTTTCTTTTCCTTTTTGCATTAAATTAACCCTCATTATTTCTCTTAAAAAGTGAAAAGTGTTAGTACAGTATTGTAAAGAAGCCTAGCTTTTTACCATAGAAACGAAGAACAAAATATCAGCTAAACATGGGAATATTAGTGTTCCTGACTGACCTCGCCTCAAGAAGTTCAGCAAGGCTAAATCTGCTGTCTGTATTATCTTCAAAAAAGGCAGAAATGCACTAAAGACTGCTGATGTGGCTAAAAGAATGAAACAGTGGTCTCAAGTGTTGAAAGAAGTAGACAAATTGTTATTAGTTTGGATGCTCATTCTCGAAATATGCGGGTCATTTCGGAATGTACCTGAGACAACCCAGTGGTATGTATGTGATACATTGTTGGTTTGCTGATGGTTGCAGTTAGGCTGAAGGTCTGCAGGCAAAGTCATACCTCAGAGTAACTGCAGACACAGATCACCCTTTGTACAAAGTGCTGGATGCAATTAAGGGTCTGTGGCTGAAAAGATGGAAGATATGGAAGGCTCAGGCAGAAGACATGATCAGACAGGTTTTACTCCTGGAGAACATTAGGCAGGAAGTGGGTCAGAGTGCCAGTGAATCAGATCACAGTCTGGTGAGAGTGATGCAGCCAGGAGTGACGAAGAAATCTGGCCAATGCTCAGTGCTCAGAGGACAGGCAAGACGGACATGTAATTAGACTTCTACTGTTACCATTGATATTGGAACTCTGCGCTGGCTGCTGAAGATGGAGACAAAGCACTTATGGGAATGCCCCTAGTGCTGTGATGTCGGTTCTTAACTCAACTCTTGAAATATGGATCTTTGCTGTCACTACTGCAGTATTCTCTGTCACAAGAATATCTACAAGTTTACAGTGCCATTTTCTTAAAAAATAAATAAATAATAATATAAGAAATATTAATCAATAGTTTGTTAAGAATGATGTTGCACATCTAAGCAAAAAAGAGAGGTAAATGATTTGATACACCGTATTTCCCCATATTTCCAATCCCAAAGTCAAAGTGCGTTCATATTTGTGATATTTTGCCGAACGCCCTAGTAATTAGTAGGACAGCAGATTTAAAAGTTTATATAACTAGTTAAACAACAGATACAAGAGCTTATATAGCTGTTGTAGTACAAAGTAAAATAGGTGGGTATTGTAGAATAAAAAATAGATATATTTAGTATCAAAACAAATAAATATTTTTTGTTTGATGTTGGAGCAAATAAATAGACTGGTTTATTATCATGGGTTGTATTAAGACAGGTAGTGATACTGATGTAATTAGATGAGTAAATACTTGTCAAAACTTGCTACACTTTACCCTAGGATGCTGCTTTATGTAATAGAGATTGGACCTCTGGAGTGCCAGAGACAGATGTGCTAATATTTAATGTTTTTAAAAAAACTTTGGTTGTGTCACAGGTTTTTTTTTTTTCAGAAGACAAGAAATCACTTGGTTATACATGTAAATATACTTCTTAGTAAAATACCAAGTATAATCTGTGCTGTTTATTCTGAAAGATTAATTTCATAAGATATT